AGGGAGAGGTTAATGCATTAAGAACGGGAGAGGACAATGCATCAGCAAACAGGTGTAATGCATTACATTAATGCATTACTCACCTCCTGGGGCCCTATATGATAGAGGTCCAACGACTCCAAACTTTGTGCACTACCTGTATTCCTCTCATCCTCATCATCCCGCATTGCCTTGTCTTTGTCCTCTTCATTGGTCTCCTCAGCTTCACCGAGCTCGTTATTGATGCGCGCCTCGGCTGACACATCTGCATCGGTCTCCTCAGCCTCACCAAGCTCATTATCGATGCGTGTCTCAGCTGACACATCTGCATTCACAAGCGCCAGCATATTGTCATCATGCGCTACGAATAACAACTGTGAGTGTTATTCTGTTGCAAGGATGTATCGCAAATACTTACAAATTGCTTCCTTCAAGAAATTTGCATAGGCTGCTTGAACGTCTGAGAATCCTGGGTAGCAGGTTGCGAACTCTCCACCGGTATCTGTTCGCCCAGATGGAAGCTGTAAGGTCGGTTATGATATATTGTCACCGTGAGAGAACGTAAACTTACTCGACCACTACAATTTCACCTGTGGCAGGATTACGTCCACCCGCAATGCAAGTGAATTTGAGCCCTCCAGTCTTGTAGGACAAATGACGGAAGATGCGATCCAGGTGTGGGTCCCAGCTCATTGAAAGCTCTGACATGTCAATTTTTAGACGAACAATTTAGATGCAAAAATGTGCGAGTACATACTGTATCTTTGCATCATCGCTGACTTCTTCAACAAACCCTGCTCTAGCTAGCTCACGATCATGCTTCCACTTGCAAGCGCTTCTCGGTGCTTTTCCTTGACTTCAGCTCTTATTACCTCGTCCTCTGAGGCATATTTTATGCGGGTCCACTTCCTTCCGCTTACACAACTTTTCGCCTCGTGAAGAGGTCCCCCCAGCAGCTGTGATTGCAGCGTTCACGGCAACCTTGACGCGCGACTCATAATGGCAATGTGAGTACACCTCGACTTCCTGCGGTGCCCTGGTGCCCTTGAGCTCATCTCCCCCATTTAGTGTGACCCCCAATTTAGTTCGACATTGGAGTTGCCTGATCGTGCCAGACGTGCCGTATTTGTCTGCCATCGGTACCAGCGCACGATGGCCTATGGAATTTTACCCATCAGTTATGTATTTCACCTATATTCAAGTTACTCACAGTCTTGCGTGCTTTAATAGCTGTTTGGACAATCTTGAACTGATCTGGGGTAAGAGGTCCTTCCGCAGGAATCCCATTTCGACTTAGATATGCACGCTCTGGCCACTTAGCTAAAAATGCAAGGCCAGTGTCGACCAAAAAATCTCGGTACCTCTTGATGGCTGACACTTGATATAGTCAGGGAGTCGTGCTAGAAGGAAAGCTTCCTGTTCGTTGCTTGCCATGGCTTTGGACCACGCCGATGACCCATGGTATGAAGAGGGTAAGAGAAATCACAGCGTTTACAGGCAGAAATAAATAATCCTTCACTGTTGAAATTTCATGTGCCGCTAGGTTCTAGCTAGTTTAAAAAGCAAGGTTTCGGTAGCACCTAGTGTACACGGTCCCTGTAGTTGCTATTGGCTGTGTCACTGATATTCTTTACCAACTCCGTGATCTCAATCTTGGACCTGGCGCCTGTATACTTACTTTTACATCAGCCATTGTGTAGCTAATAAATTCTCTATCCTGCTATGGGACAAGATACTGCCAGGAATGAAACATACTTCCAGTGATGAGCAATCTTTATGCCATTGAAAGCTCAGCACGAGCTTGCCACCAATTTGAATTGGACCACGTGAAATTGAATTTGCTTTGATATATGAAGTGAGCCTAGAATTGAAGCCAAAAAAGGGAGGAAGGTCTTTGTATCCAGCGTAGTGGTCGTAGAATGAAGCGGGAATTGAACAGCCCAGCCCGAGAGCTTGGGACTTGAGGGGACATAGGCTCGTCAAAATAATATTGGTGCAAGTATCGACCAAATAGTGATGCTACCGAATTCTGGTTCTGCTTGACCATTGGACCGAACACAGCCAAACATGTTCGAGGGGGTCCAATTCACATTCAGACTAGGTTCAGTTTGTTCAGAAGGACACCATCGAGGACTCTTGACTCCTTAATGGACCCACCTAGAATCTCTTCAACACGTACATAGCACTTGACGTCAACACCCTTGTATGCAGCGTCATCCGAGGTAACAGTCCGCAAGGCTTGAAGGGCCAGACGGCACATTAAATCACTCCGGTGTTCTGCAAATTTGGAGCCAGTGGAAGTTTTAGCTCGAACGTAGTGTGGGTGGCAGGATATGTGTAGAGAAGCACAATATGCCGCCCATAACAATATCTATTTGAGAAGCAAGTATGAATGAGATGAGAATGAATTACTATATGTTGACGATGATGCTCACCTTCGCCTAGGGCATAGCATGGGTATACCCGCAGGTCGGAAGATCAACACCGCACCCATTCGGGTAGGGGTACAGCATCACCCGTACTAACGCTCAGTGTGGTAGTGTACCCGTGGTATGGTATCTACCTGCGAGTACACATACAAAAAATAATACTCCATTGGTCTATTAACCTCACGCGACACTCTGGAGTCAAACGTAGAAGCCGGCTGGTCAGACCTTCAGGTGTACTACAATGAAGACGGAAGCACATACCTGAGCAGCGGTTGGACTGTGGACACTGGACATATGGCAACAACGGTTTGCAAAGAAAGCACTTGAAAATAGACATACTGAGCAACATCAACGACCAATGACCATCAGCACAGACACATCACTCAAAATTAGAACCTCACACCACCCGCAACAAACAACCAACCCTCGCTAAACTTGTTCAAGGACACACCTGAACTCGCTCACACAGACTAGCTTGTTGAAAGTAACCTCGGTAGGTATCAACGATGCAATGGTATCGAAGATAAGCTCCTCGCTCTGAGCGACCTTTGTCGGAACATAAAGAGTTTGATGGTGCGTGATGATGCACCATTGGATTAATACACATTTCTTCAGAGTCCTGTGAGCAGCATAAGAGTCAGTAGTGCTATCTCAAACATTATGCGAAGTACGAGTCTTAACAAGGTCCAGACTCCAGACAGTGATTTAACGCCATACCCATGGCGTACCCGTATACCGTGCTTACAGGTACGGTGTTGGCATGGGTGTCAGTTCCAGACACTATACCCATACCTGTGCCACCCGTAACCCCCATACCTGCGGACACTGTTGCACATACCCGTGCTACCGTGATACTCATGACGAACACCTGGTGCAGTGAGTCCGACAGTGTAATTAGAACCATCCCAGAGTTACCTGCAAGTGCTAATGAATCAACTTGCACGTATGTGATTGCTATTACAAAGCCGGAAGCTGACTTACTACATATAGCCAGATTTCTTACTGTATGTTCAACATCTTCGCCATGTCGTACTACAAGCGCACTTGTCCTTCATGCAAAGTGGATTTTTGTTTCACGTGTGGAGAACCCAGCTCACTATGTTGGAATCCACATTCTCTGAGCAGCGTCAACAAACCTCTGAAGAGAGTTCTCAGAAATCAAAAATGAATAAGAGATGGAAGACCGATCTGCACTCTTCTTTGTCTACTTCAACAGGGGATGATGCTGATGACGATAGCTATTATATGTCTTTGCCTGTGGTAAAGAAGTCGAAAGGAGGCGTTGGCTATGCCAGAGATGTAAAGGAAGATGTGAGTTTTTATATGAACACCATCTTGGACATGTTCTTTGCGCTTTATCAATGTTCTGCGTCCACAATACTCAGGAGCGGTTTGTCTTATTCCCTGGACATGTTCTTTGCGCTTTATTGATGTTCTGCGTCCATAATGCTCAGGAGCAGTTTGTCTTATTCCTTGGACACGTTCTTTTGCGCTTTATCGATGTTCTGCGTCCACAATACTCGGGGGCGGTTTGTCTTATTCCCTGGACATGTTCTTTGCGCTTTATTGATGTTCTGCGTCCATAATGTTCAGGAGCGGTTTGTCTTATTCCCTGGACATGTTCTTTGCGCTTTATCGATGTTCTGCGTCCACAATACTCAGGTAGCGGTTTTGTCTTATTCCCTGGACATGTTCTTGCGCTTTATTGATGTTCTGCGTCCACAATACTCCGGGGGCGGTTGTCTTATTCTGGCCTCGAAGCAAGGAACCGCGCGCAGTGCTTTTGGTGCGTGACCCTACCCTGATTTTATGACGTGACAGTGATGGTTCCTCATATGAGTGTTTAGGCTTCTTTTCGGCCATGCGGGTGTGTGGAGAAGGCCCCCCAGAGTGTACTTGAACTCATCAATAGAACGACTTGCGGGAAGTGAGTTCTAACTTACTCAGTACTGCGTGGTCTTAACATTGACTCTACAGTTGAAGACAGTGCTGTGAAGATCACTGCAATTCAATGTTTGGACATTCTAGCACTTCCAGATTCTATCTCAGCCTTTTCTTGTCGGATAATAAAATTGTCTGTCGATGTTTTTAAGTTAGCTCGCCACCCATTGCCATTTGTTCCAACTGACATTGGTTCAAGCCTATTTATCACAGACCAGGAGGAGATGGTAACGAAGACATGCCCAAAGAACTGCGCAGACGCTTAGCCAAAGTGGGATGGTTGAATGAAAAACGACTCTGCACGGAGAGGGAGGTGCACGAAACCAGCGACTACATGGTTCACCCCCACGGTTCTCACAAATCTCCATAGGACGCTTTAACTTATGATTCCTCTCAGACATGTCAGATCGTTCTGCTGTTTGAACCGTTGACTGACCAGATATCAGAGGCGTAGCGTGCAGTCTCAGAACAATTTGATCATTCATCATTACTGTGGCTATGACAGATGAAGCGCGGAAGAAGGCTTACGTCGACTGGGCTACTCAAGTTCGATTTGCTAGTGAGATCAAACTAAAAATCTGAGCAACAGTAAATGCAGTGCGACCAGACTCATTAATGTGCGCTAAGTTCATACTCGACACTTGTGTACTTCACCCCTCCTGATTGCAGTACGAATCAGCACTTCTCCAACGGCAAGGGAAGTAACGACATATGCCACGTCAGCGAAGCATTTGATACTTTCCGTTACCTCAGCCCTAGATACAGTGAATCAGTGTGTGCGATGTCAAGCAGAAAGGACTTACCAAGTATTGAATACACCGATGTATCGTCCACGGGGGACACAGTAATAGGGACCAGTTTTCCAGGCACTGCAGGCATGTTGTAGAGCATCCCATGATAGTAAGTATACATCGCATCATCGGCGATTGCATCGATAACTTCCTTGTATCTACGCCTGATCCCGATGTACCCACACTGATATCTGCCTCTGCCTCTGCAGTGGAGTAGGGTGTGATGGTGAGAGGCAAGCTTCAGGTAACCGAAAAAGAGCGCCAGTAAGACTTGTAAGTGGTGGAGCTAGGTGACGGCTGGGGTATTGGTACTACAGTGGGGGAACCAAGCGTGAAATGGTTATAGTGGGCACAATGGAGGGTGCGGAATCACTATGACCTGGTGGGTGGGGATCAGTTTCTGCAGAGATGTTGGGAGAGCTACTCTACTCACACTGTGCATGAGGCTGCCGCACTCCTGCGTCCAACCGTTAACATTTCTGACCGCCTTCAAACTCAACTCTGGAGATTGGATGCAGATTGTCCTTACGAGGGAGGTTGGAGTGGAAGGGTCGTATGATGACATCATGCAAAACTCGCAGAGGCAAAAACCAGGATCAGCAGGTGGTAGAGATTCTTCCGAGTGTGACTCGGACGCAGGGCTGAAGACTCAGACTCAGACTCCATCGGAGTGAATATGAGGGAAGGACACAGTTGATGAGAATATGAATACTGACCGTCTGGCGCGCCATCAGAGTGAATATGGGAGAAGACACAGCTATGAAAATATGAATACTGACCGTCCTGGCAGGCTTATTTATAGGCAGCGCATTGAGCATGTAATGCATTACTTGAGGTACGAGAGGTGCCAGTGATGCATTATCATTTGTCAAGTAATTCATTACATCAAAGGATTACCAAAGACTCAATGCTGTGACTTTGTCGTGACGTTGCACTCACTCCTGGCAGGCAGGCTGTGTACAATCGATTTAGACTCTGAGCTCCTTTCCAAGCTTTGATATTACTAGGAGACCGTCCATATGCTCACCCGACATTTATCCGTTCAAAAGATCAACCGCCGGAAGCGAGTCAAGCTCAACATATATACCCCGCTCAAACTCTGGAACTGAAGCTCCCAGCGTTCACCAAACATATACATTTGTATCATGCATTAAGGCTTCCAGGCACGCAGTTCTCATGTCATCAGCTCTGGGCGAGCCAGGCCAAACCTCAGGTTCAAACTGAAGCTAGCGCGACAATCAGTGAAATTTGTGATGAGCAGTTTGACTACAATATAACGATATTCACGACACGGAGCTCATGAGGGATGCGGAGGGCCACGAAAAAACGAATCGGAAGCGCTCAGTAGGTCTCCCTTTGTACCCAGTAATAAGTGTTTCTCACTCGTTCTTCAGGACCATCCACTTCGTCGTGGATGAATGATCGGGACATGTTTTTACTTGAGTTCCTTCGGCACGAGGGCAGAGGAGATTATGCCAGTGACCCTGTCTGCTGGCGCTGCCATCTTCATGTCCCTCAATTTCGGTGTATCGATTGCTTCGGTACAGAGTTGTACTGTAAGGACTGTATTGTCACCTTACACACTCAGAATCCAGTACATCGCATTCAGGTAAGTCTGTTCGCACAATAATGTGACTGCATGTTCATTTCAGTATTGTAATAGGAGTGGACGAACTCTTATTTTACGGTGGTGTCCCTGAGGGACATGGGCCTGCGTGTGCAGCTTGGACATTTTGCAGGAGACTCATGTCTGTGAACCTGAGCGAGGATTCAACGACGAATTCACTCTTATCGATACTAACGGTATTCACACTATCGCATTGGATTTTTGCGGTTGCGAGACAGCTCAAACGCACACAAAACACTATTACGTGCTGCCTGGTTCCGGCTACAACCGTCAATCCACGCACCAGCAGCAACCTCCGCATCCTGGAGCAATATCACCTTCCTATCATTCGAATCAAAGGCTTCGGGGTATGAATTTTTATCGCTCGATTGCACGTCTGACCGATAACACAGGACTTCATCCTCAAAAGGTGAGTTATCTGATGACTCACAAGTGCCTTATCATAGACATCTTATCATCTGTCGAACCAGAATCGTTATGAGGCATTCTTGCGGATGGTTCGTGAATGGCGCCACCTGAAGATGCTCAAGCGAGCAGGCCGTGGACACGATCCGGCTGGTGTCGAAAATACGCAAAGCGGCGAATGTGCTGTCCTATGCCCCGCGTGCCCTCAACCTCTCAAAAATCTTCCAGACAACTGGAAAGAGGTTCCAAATGACAAAAGTGCATGTCACACTCATACATAGATTTTTACTCATCCTTCACAATCCCTTAGATGGATATATGCTCTGTTCGTAGCCATCGACGCGAATTTCCGTCTCAAAAGACGTCTCGTCTCTAAAGATTGCACAGACCCTGGGCTTAGTTGCGGGTGGGCCTACTTTGTGGATGAGACGACGTACAAAGCATATTTACTCAATCACGGTGGTAAACCGCAAGAGGTAAGCTGTGTGAATGACTTAATGGGATTCTGTTCTGACCATTTCAGTAGAAAAGCACCTGCGCATCACACAACACAGTCAACTTAGCGGATACGAAAGCTTCGCAGGGGTCTGGCTGCGACTGGAGTGGGAATGATCGACTGTGCGCGGCATAATATGAAATTACCCAATGGTGTCGGGGACTTGCAGAAGGGCGAGCGGTGAGGTATACCAGCTCACGCAACCATCATTACTGACCGTATGGCATAGATACAGCAACATGGATTATTTATTTTTTTCGACCCTCCACGGACGCAGCGTTGAAATGCTGAATGTTTCGTATGATATTGCGTGCCAGTGGCACAAGAACATTTGGGAACGCATGGCCACAATCCCTCTGGACCTCCATCTAGACCCTCTCACTAAATTTATAAGGTTCTTACAATCACAATACCAGTCTCTTGCGCCTTTGCTCATGTTAATCACCAGGTTTTTTGTACCAAAATTCCATCTTCCTGCGCACGTTTTCAAATGCCAAACATCGTATTCTTTCAATTTCTCGAAGAACGTCGGACGAACGGATGGTGAAGCCCCCGAACGGGGTTGGTCAAATATCAACCCAGTTGCCTCTAGCACTAAGGAAATGGGCCCCGGCTCTCGACGGGATACTCTAGACGATCACTTCGGTGATTGGAACTGGAAAAAAACAGTTGGACTTGGTGCGTGACTTGTGAATGACTTCGTACTTTTGTTTCCTCATCCTTTCACAGGTGCAATGTTACTCCGAAAGATGAACGAAGCAAAGGAGGAGAAAGAAGCTCACGAAATTGCTTTTGAGGAGCTAGACGGCGCTTTGCCACCTAAGGCATCGGATCCCTGGAAATTGGAAATCGAGTATTGGGAATGCAACCCCAATGACTCTTTGGTTAGTAACCCGTTCGAGCCGAAGGTCACTTGTAAGTGTTGGTCTTTCATATTCTTGATTCAATCACTAAGATGCAAATTAACAGCGATTACTCAAGCCACCGTTCGACTGAAGCTTGCGGAAATGGAGGCTCGTGATCTACAGCAAGGCGTCGATATATCTTGCCACCCCGACATTTCACCCAGCGTCTTTATTGCATCTGGAATCGATCTCGAAAGTGAACAGTACGTAGCTTTTGCATTAGGAACTGGGTATCTCACTTATTCATTTGAAGGCGTCGTTTGAAGGCGGATATCACCAACCTTGGTATACACGCCACGGACACACAGAAATCCACCATACAGCATCAGCGGAACTCTCTGCAGCGAAAAATTGATGCGTGGAAGCGTGTCCAGGCACTCTACACTCCCGCAGTCCAACTGCTACACTCGGATTCATTCCAACCTTCCCTCGACCCCATCACACCAGAAGACGCAAAACTTTATCTGCCATCAACTATGAGTGCTAAATCTATCCGTTGTGATCCTCGCCTTCAGGCCACTGAATGGGAGCTCCGTTTTGCTCAGGCCGGGGATGCGCTGGAGGAACTACGACAGAGCCTCCGCCTACGCGATCATATGTACACATTCAAGAGAGATTGGGTCCGTGGCCAGAGTGCAAATACACGGGCACAAAACGCTCTAACTCGGGTAGTTGCGAAGGCATCAGCAGCAGCTGACAAGTATCGCGCTGCTCATGGAGCACTTTCTGCCCTCGCTCCCTCGCTCCGAGTGGTCGGTTGGAACCGCAAATACAAGGAACTCGACAAGAAAGATGACGTCCGTGGCATGTCAGCACCTCAGAAAGGTGTGAGCGAAGGGAGAAGGCAATTGTCGTGGATATGGATGGTGGAAGGAGTCGGAGACGATCAGGATGAGGCGATACAAGATAGTAAGCTTGAATATGAGCCACGAACGAATAAAGGATACTGATGTAGTTTGCAGGTCTGAGAGTCGAGTGGTGTAAGGCTCGGGCCCGGTCAATGCGATGGGCAGAAGAAGTTGAACTTCTTCACGAGGAGATGCGTAGGGTTCTCCAATTCCTTAGGTGGTATGCAGGGTGGTGGTATGAGAAAGGTCAAGATTGCACACATGGTGGTACTGCCGACTCGGACAACGAGGGACCGGTTGCCTATGCGCTTCGCCAGGCCCAACTTAGGCATGATCTCGCGGACCATTTCGAGAAGATGTGGATGGCACATGTTCAAGTTTCAACTACCTGACCTCCGCATAGCAGTTGCCTCCCCCTTGATATGAAGTACACCACGTTAATTAGTCATCGAGTGTTTGTCAATAGAATTTCGCTACAGCATTGATGACATATCGAAGGAACTCGGCAGCGTGTCTTGCGGTTATCGAACTAATGCATTTGCTTCATTGATAGATTCGGAATAGCTTTGATGTGACATAGTGAAGGAACTCAGCAGCGTGTCTTGTCATTATCATGAACTAATGCATTTGTTTGGCTGATAGCTACAATGCTTAATGCAATACACGTGCCTTGTAACTATCATGCGTAATGCATTAACAGCCCAGGATGTTGTGTGAATCCAACGATCTCGATCTGCAGTCTGGTCGTGCGACAAAGCCCAAGGCAGCCCCAATGCGAAAAAGTTCCAGGAAGTAGTCATACATTTTCTTTTCACTCGCATCAAACTCGCAGGCCGTCAGACAATACCCGTTTGTACTTTATATTCTCACTTTCAATTCCCCGCTGCCATGCACTACTGAACCGCTGTATTATTGACCTACTCATAGATTTTTCATATTCCTGTCCTCGTGTCCGATCTCGATTACCGCATTAACATACATAGGCTCGGAACAATGGACTCAACTGTACCTCAATGCTTTGTACTGCGATTAATTCAATACAATGTTTTTTTGTGTCAGAACGCAATTGCAATGTCTGATGAATCTGAGTGAAATTCCAATAAATTGTGTACATAGCAATATCTGATATAGCGGTACACTAGTTGAATGCCAGACTGATGTCATATGGCAGTGCCAATGCCAGGAATTGAGTTTCCTGGCATGGCCCGACATTGACACCTTGCGCCAGTTAGTTATGGTAGGTATGGTAGCTCCGACATGGCCATATATAGCCATGTCAGAGTTTTGTTATTTTGGTGATGCTTGTATCCTGTTCATTCACCACTCGTATCTTCACACTCGTGCTCATATTGTACTCATTCCAGCTTGTATACACCTGTTCTGACTTGTCCCTCGTCGTTCTCATTCATCTGGGCCATTTTGGTTCATTATGGCTTGTCCCTCGGCATTCTCATCCATCTAGACTTACCTGCACTCGTCTGGACTCTTCTGCATTCGTCTGCATTCGTCTGGACTTGCCTGAACTCGTTTTGACTTGCCTCTATTCATCTGGGCCTGCCTGCACTTGTTTGGACTCGTCTGCATTCGCTTGTACTTGCCTGCACTCATTCTGCATTCGTTTGGACTCATCTGCATTCGCTTGGACTTGCCTGAACTCATTTGGACTTGACTTGGCTTGTCTGTATTCGTCTGGGCTTGTCTGCAAACGTTTGGACTTGACTTGGCTTGTCTGCATTCATCTGGACTCGCCTGCAATCGTTTGGACTTGCCTGCATTCATTTGCGCTTGCCTGCACTCGTTTGGACTCGTCTGCATTCATCTGCATTCGTCTGGACTTGTCTGCGTTCGTTTGCACTTGCCCTGGCTTGTCTGTATTCGTCTGGGCTTGTCTGCACTCGTTTGCACTTGCATGCATTCATCTGGACTTGCATGCACTCGTTTGGACTCATTTTCATGTACGTTGGTGCCCGTGCATTTTCGACAGCCGTTAATGATATCACACAATTTTTTGCATAGCAAGCCGCGGCCTAAGCCTAGGCCGAGCCGAGCCTAGCCTGAGCCGTCAAGGAAGGCTCGGCCTGCAATCTCAGTGAGCCTGAGCCCCATCAAGCCGAGCCGTGGCCCCGGCTTTTGAGCCGGGCCGGGCCGTGCACATCACTAACTGTATAGGTGAGCAGACGAATCAATTTATAGAAAGAAGTTTGTTATTCCTTCCATTTTATGTAAAATCCTTCATCACTGCGTGGCCGAACAGCCTAGTATCATAAGTTACACAGCGATTGGATATTGTCACGAGTTCCCGCAGTCTAGCCCCCTGTGGGGCATGCACCTCGGTTGCCACGCACAGACCCCTTGACTTCCTTATAAAAATATTATATTGTTCAGCCATTGGACCAAGCTTTCGGTCAGCCCTCACTTGGATCTGCAAAACACCCAAGTTCTCGCTTTAGGTGTCATCGTGATCCTTATTCACTACCATGGGTGTGTCACAAAGTAAGCACTGCGGCAGGGACATTTGGCTTGCCTTTAACGACGTCTGACTCGCAGTTCCCATATCAGGCTCAACGGCAGGCGTCTCAGTTCTAATACTGGCGTCCCTCTATCTCCTGCAAGCGCATCGCCGAAGACAACGAACAACAGACATACGAGGACCTCAGAGCCCAAGTTGGATGTGGGGCTTCTCCAAGATATTGCTAGATCCTGCCATAGCCACTGAACTGTATGAACGTTGGGCCGATGAGTACGGTCCAGTATACAAAATCCCCCTTGTCTTGGGAGAGTCTAGGGTCTTACTGTGGGACCCAAAAGCCATCTCTCATTTCTTTGCAAAAGATACTTGGTTGTATAACCAAACTCCATTCAACAAGATCGCTGGTGAACTAACCGTATGTCCCTTTACCTCATTGTACAGCTATATGGTAATGACGTGCTTCTGCGGCTGACAGGTTGGACGAGGAATTCTGTGGGCCGACGGTGAAGGTCACAAAAGGTCGGGATTATGATCTTCAAGTCGTGCCGAGCTAAATCTATTTCATTCTCTGTCATTCATCAGGCAGCGTAGGGCTCTCAACCCTGCCTTTAGCGCAGCTGCCATCCGCAACTTGACGTCTGTGTTCCAAGATGCCGCTCACAAGGTCAGTCACTGATTATTCGCCCGTCACTGTATTCGAATTAGATCACAGGCAGTGATCGCTTGGGACGCTGAGATAGGATCGAACCAAGGAACTCATGACGCTGTGATTGATGCTCAACAATGGTATTTGTTTTCTCCCAAAAATTTTCCTACCCGCGCACTCAGGCATATTATATGCAGGATGAATCACATCTCGTATGTAAATCCCTTCCCCTCCACCAAGTTAATGTCTCATCCAGCGCCCACCACGTAGACTCGATAGTGTGGGCATAGCCGTTCTGTCCCATGACTTCGGCACACTCAATGGAACTCACTCCGAGATCGCGGACGTCCTGAACGCGTTTGGTTTGTCTGGAAACGCTGCCCACAGCTTGGTCATTCTGGCACAAAATTTTCCTTCCATCCTGAAGCTACCATTGCCTCGCACACAGTTCGCCCAGAAGCTGAATTTGATCATCGGCAAAATATGCGAGGAGATGTTATCGCGGTCGCGCAAGGAAACAGAGACTGGTGGCGCTACGCAGGGGGACAAATCATGTTTGGGTTTGCTCCGTGAGTCTGTCCTTCGCTTCCCAATTTGAAACACTACAATTGTTGTGTAGTGAAAGCGGAGGGCGCGAGATTGACACATCAAGAAGTATTAGACGAAGTAAATGAACCATATAGTTCTCCAGGCTCCTGAACGATGCGACACTGATGTCTGTCTCTGCCAGGCCAGGGCCCTACTCCTCGCCGGATTTGAGACCACTTCAAGTAATGTGCATTAGTCTAGCAAAAAGAATTTCATACTGACTATGCATTGCATATTTATCAGTCAGCATGACAGTAAGTTTCGAACCGTCCGCCGCTCCAACTGGGTTTCTCAACTTCACAGTGGGCTTTGGTGGAACTTGCGCGGAATCCAGATATACAGACGAAGCTTCGCAACGAGTGTCTAGAGTTCGGGGCAACCCCATCGTATGACGACCTCACGAATAAGCTTCCCTACCTGGACGCTACAGTCAACGAAGTTCTTCGCCTGCACGCACCAGCCAAGGAAATTCCACGATCGGTGCGTAATACGTATCCGACAGAAATTCCACGCACTCACTTGAGCTTACCATGACAGGCTATGCAAGATGACGTGATCCCGCTCAGCCAGCCCTTGCGCACGGCTGACGGAAATTATACTGACAGTGTATGCATCCCAAAGGGGACAGTGGTCGTAATCCCGCTTGTCGCACTCAATTGCTCAGTTAGCATGTGGGGGCCTGACGCAAAGGCGTTCAAACCTTCCCGATGGCTCGAAGAGGACATGGGCACGCACGGTAAAGAAGCACTGCATGGCTATCGTCATCTAATGACATTCGGTGATGGCGCGCGGATCTGCCTAGGGAAGGTATTTGCATTGACAGAGTTCAAGGTACGCAGCTGGGCAAGAGTTATTGTCTGATTCATTTTAACCGGGTTTGGTCTGGTCCTAGGCCGTGATGTTCACCCTGGTGCGAAACTTTGTGTTTGAGATGGAAAGCCCTGGGATGAAGATAGTGGAGAGTTTTGGGCCTATAGCAAGACCGGGGATAGCTGGGAGTGCTGATCCTGAACGTGTGCCCCTTCGGGTGCGCCGCTATGAAGTTTGATGGCAGGATATTTGCCTGTGGGTTTGGCGTATAATTTCGTAGATTCTGCTACGGTCTTAAAGACGGGCGAGGCTGCTGACGACCTTCTGAAATCTGGTTTTGGATGTACCTCAAGTGAGAATGATTTGTTCTCTTCGAACTCAATAAGCAATAGTGCACCGACATCAGCTCGCACTGTGTACCTGCAACTCATCAGCAACAAAAAAGCACGGACCTGAGAGACTTACAATCGACCACTGTTGAAGCTCGCCACTAAATCAGGTATGCTCTTCCTCTCAACACAAATATCCGGCGTGAGGATATAATCCCCGACGGTCAACGTCGCTGGAATAACGAGCAGACCAGATGCGTGTAGCAGCGAAGGTAGCGTGGAACGGAATTCACGCATGTCAACGATCAATCGATCACCTGCGATGCCACAGTACTCAACTCCTTCCTTCCGCCTGCGAGACGGGTACTGATTGTTTTGATGACTGCATCGCTTCTCCCGGCGTGTTTGTCTTCGAAGATTGGCAGAAGCATAGACTATGTATAGCTGATGAGCGACTCGCACCACATGCAAGATACTGAAACCAAACGACGCACTCCGCGCTCCTTGATGAGCTTCTCAAATGAGTCCTTCTCGCGCCTCAACCCAGCAAGGTACTTGTGCTCCTCGCAACTGAGTTGGTAGATCATGAAATATACCCGGACGCCCATACCAGGATTTGAGTTTCTGTATACCTGTCCATTGCACCGCATGAAACTCAACGGTATCCTCTCTCAGATGAAAGACTAACCTCGATGCGCCTTACGAAATCAAGGTTAGGTTCAAACATCACGATGAACCTCGGCTGCAGTTCTGCGAGAATCTGGTCATCAGTGTCATCGGTATATGCGCGCACGACGACCGTCTGCGAAGGTGCAAGCAAACCGTAGTGTGTATCAAAGTCCAGTTCTGCTTCGCTTGAGAGAAGAGCTTCAAGTAAAAGAGAGTCTGCGTCAGCGGAGACAAGGAGATCTGGGGGTTGGCTTGCAAAATTAAATTCAATCTTAGTAAGGAGTCACTGGAACACACATAGATGAGAAGATACGGTCGTAATCAAGAAGTAATCGCTGAAAGGCCTCTTCTATGAATACAAGGTCCTTGCACCATTGTCGATCCCATAAATACATCAACAGGAACATCAAACCCACGATATCGCGTAGGGATTGGGCAACAGCCTAAGTACGATCAGCAACTGTAGCAAACATCATAAAGGCTACTTGCTCACTCGGAACTTGGGACATACTCCCGCTGTCCTCCGAACAAAACCTTTGAAAAGTTCAATGCGTTTCTCTGAGTCAGTTTCCAGTAGAACTCGTGCAGAATTCAAAAGGACGCATGTCACGCCCCGCACGTGCCTAACCTGATGCAAGTCAGCGGATATAGAGTAGGGAGAAATACTCGCCTGTTAACAGCCCCTCGAGTTGAAAATCATTCGATGTCTTCAATCGAAAGAACAGCTGCTGAGCCGCGCTGTCTCACTTGAACCTACTTCACTGACAGTCGTTCCCTCCTTGTCCTATGAAATTCCATGAGCAACGGTGATCATAGAACATCTTGTTAACAATGCGAGGCTCATTCAACACATACAGGCCTTGTAGCCACTAACACACCCCAAACTTCAATCCGCGGATACGAGTTAAAATGAGAATAAGCGGGAGGATCGATGTGAGGGACAACGGGTATCGGGCAATTCACTTCAACTTGAGCCAACGGTCAAGGGAAAATGTATGGGTAAGTACCTGCAAGGTCAACTGATACGCTATCGACAATTGTGATCTGAAGGGAGCAAAAGATTGTGAGCGGTTATTCATTGCACCAAGGTTGGTGAGAACGAGAGACAAGAACTGCGTGGATGGTGCGTGCAACATGATATGCGGGAGGTGAGGCATTAAAAATATGTCAGACAAAAACAAGCGGGGTGGTGAATAAAGGAGCGCCGATCAAGAGCAAGCAAGCGGGGGACGAGATCGAAGAGGAGGAGCTGACATACGGCACAATAGACGGTACTTCATTGAGTGGGTGCAGGTGCACCAGAGTGTATGACTGCGGGCGTCCTCATAAAGGACTACTTCGATAGTCGGAGAACAGGAAGAGTCTCGGGCCTAGTACCATCGAGTTCCAAAAATCTATGTTGAACTCGTATAAATGTTGATATATTCAATATATAACAGACTCACGATTCACCAAGTTAATACACGTATCTTTGACACCCACTGGCAGATGCACGAGTCATTGTGACGGAGGAAAGTTTGCACTTTCCCACGATGCGTTGACATTGTTCTCAAACGGCGCTGCCCTGGATCACTCAATCCTAATTACACATTCCCTCCATTCGTCCACAAGATGGCGTGTCTTCCTTCTATGCTGATCGATAATGGCGGGTGAGTCACGATATGTTAATGGGAGGATAATCCGCAGGGTTCAACGCATCATCATTCGGACGAGATATAGCATATCATCGGCTTCCCCAACCTCCCCCTCCGCCTGGTGCCAAGACAGATTGTGATGCCGACAGTGCTTATAAACCAGTTGAACTTGTTACGGTGCCTGCACTTGGTCCGGAATGGCAGTTATCTGAGATGAAAAACATGGCCAAGTCGGGTCGACGAGAGATCAAGGGTGATAAATGGCAGGAGAAGTGGAAAGCTCGGCATCGCAGAGATGTAGTTCACCGAAACATTTCTGGCCTTCTTCTTGTTTGGGTTGTGCGCCATGTAAGTCACACTTCTCCTCAATCCCCATTCAATTCTCTCGGTACCCAATCAATTTCTCCTTTCCGGCGCACGCAGACATCCAAGTTGATACCACCGCCAATATTATTCCCCTTAGCTGATGGCCATGGTGTGTCTTCCTACTCCCCTATGCGCCCCACTGAGTTATTCCAGCGACTTCTTGGAAACCCTAGACGAGGGGTCTTTCTTCACTACATCTCCAGCAGTGACCCCCGCCCTCATGTCTACTCCCGCGTTCTCTCAGGCTACTCCATATATCTCAAATTCTGCGTCTGCTGCTGAAGCGACGTCCAATCCTCCAGCACACCCTGAGCCACCCGCTGAAGAGCCTGCCCTGCCTCTTCTTCCGTCTGCTACCAAAACAGAATTTTTTTGTTGACTGCTGCAGATTAGGAGTCAAGTACGCACAACGAGCGGCTGAACCGCGTTATTCGGAGCAAATACGAGGCAGGTCTGCTCAAGCCGTATGATTATATCGAGGGCTACGCACGATTGTCAAGGTGAATGGACCACAAGTGCGTCGATATCTCCGCGTTGAGATACAAATCTAATACCTTTTTGTCTCAAGTGTTTATCGACAATCGAAGCAGCAAATGCTTCAACACTTTTTTATCTTTCCTTTTTAGTTTAATTCCCCGACGCGCCTCAGCGCCTTATGCAAGAGAGATCTGCTGCATTTACCCTAAGCTGACGCCTTGCTCTGTTCATCACGAGTCTCCTGTCACCTCCGTTCAGTCACTCTACTGAATGTTTTCATGCTCTTTTTTCCAACGTTTCTCACCAGAATTTTTTGCTCTGTCCACTGGTCTCCCCTCTATACGTTTCACGCCTTTTCACACTGCAAACGACCAATTTTTACTACTGATACTTTCACTGATGAATACTAGCAATTGACCGTGACCGCCGTCCATTCCCATAGTGGACTTCGGCCGCGTACCAACTCCCGGTACCAGCATTCGATGTATCTCCACCACAAACCCACGGTCGCAAGGCAGCATAACTCGTGAGTGACTCTCAGTCTCCGGTCTACTTGTGGATAATTTCTTTGTAAATCCCGTATGTAGTATGGAGGGTAAGTGATCGCTCGCGACTTATAAGACGAATCTGATATTCATCGGAAGAACGACAAGATGATTCACCCCGTTCCTGCTTGCCAATATTTACATAGTGGCACCGGGGGCGAGCAGGTATTCCAAGATCACACCTCAACACAAATGGGAGAGATGGCCCGGTCATCCCTGATCCTCGTCACTTTTCTGATCTCAGGCATCACCCTACACGGAAGGCAACACTATATCTCCCTGCTGTTCGACGGTAGAATTGTGCAAGCCTTCAATATCCAATATGAATAATCATCATGATCCATCCTGCTTTTCGTCTCGGTCACCTGCCAGTGGCACCCTTGCCCCATCTGCTCTCAAGAAAGGCACGCACTACCACTATCGCCTGATCTTCAGAATCTCGAACACTCCTTTCTCTATCCACCTCCTTTCCGTTCATCCCATAGTGGCCCTTATTTCATAGATATCGATGGACAAAGAACTCATAGATCTGCGCTCCACCACTACTACACGAATCTACGACTGCACACCGATGTGACTCTCTTCTCAAGCGACATCTTCTTTCTAGCGATGTACTAGGCCATATTTTGTATCGAAGCCCTCTCCTTCGTTTGAATCTATTCTCCTGACAGATACATGGCAGTACTCACCATCAGTATGTTTTTGACACGGCTCAAACTGGTCTAAGACAATGTTATTGAACAATGTCTGTACATAACGTAGGGGAAAGATATTCCAGAAACATCCAAACAATTTGAATGATTAGGGTGACTCAGCTTGATAGTGGATTTAAAAAACAAGTCTTCCACGCCTGATCACGCGAGAGAATCCTCTCAAAGTGATGAAGATGGGTGCAACGTTCATCCCATGGCGTGCTGACACAAAACTAAGGTCTTTGAATATCTGTTGATTTAGGCGGGAAGGCAGGACCATGTGAATCGAAGGATATGGTTAGCATAAAAACTGGCGAGAACAAAGTGTATCATAGACTCGCAGCCATGACCTAGCTTGCCACACAATGAGCGTACAGGGAACAGAATATGGATTGCCTCGGGGAAGACAGTATCTTCCTGACTTACTATGCTGCGCTTGAAGAACTAGTCGTAAGTAAGATGAACATCACGCAGGAGATCCCGAGGCTCAGGATGGAAGTCTCAGGCAATGTGAAGATCGTCAATCGTAGACCAGGCGATAAGTACGTTACTTACATTGACGAGGCCGCCAACTTTGATGGGTGAAATATGCCTGCGAGCACGAGCAGTGCATCAACCGTGCTGCTATCCGGACATTGTTGCACTGGGAGTGCTTAGTGAAGGTTGCATTGAGGTCCAGAAGGATTTAAAGACGAATTGGAAGGTAGTGAGTCGACTCGCACTCGAATAGCAGACGCCGCACAATTTACATTGAGACTCGAATGAACAACTCTGCTAAAGCGTGAGAGACAGGTAGATGCGAAATCGAGATGACTACACCGCGAGAAAGGACTTCATGTACACAGGTATGGTAGAGAATCCATGATCAACGACTCGTAACTCCGTACCAGACGAAAGCAATACAACTACACACCAATATGAATAAAAACCATTCTTTGCTCGAGCGGCACTTTCGTTTTCACGGCGTGAGTAGCACGGTTCAGTGCCCAAGCCGCCTTCGTACAGTCCATAAACTCGCCATCCCCCAACTTCTTGACCATATGCTCGTAGAACGCTTCAACGACGTGTTTGGCGACAGCATCATCAACCTCCCACAGCGTGCCAATGACGCTCTTGAACCCTGAAAACTGAAGTCCAGCTGCGAGATGGATGACTTCGTCAGGCGTTTCCTTGTCGCCGACAGCGGTATGACACGCTGATAAGAACGCGAACTCAGCGTGCGGAATATCTTTCTCCATGATGTCGAGTAGCGTCAGAGGTGCGTCCTTCATGACGAAATGAGAATCGTAAGGCTGTTGGTGGTCCTGTTTGCCGTGACATGCGAGATGCACCCAGGTGTTCTGTTCCAGGGCTTCAAGTGCACCTGCTCGTGTGGCTGCGTCGCCAGAAACAGTGGAACGATTGGCCGTCGCGGGGACGAGCTTATGGACAAGCTCGAGCTCGCTGTCCACAGCTAAGAGCTCCTTGCCATTCCCTCCACTCGGTTGACCTTGCCCAACCGCCACAAAGGATGGAGGCACACGGCGTTTCTTCATCATCTGCCTAGATCTGATCAGCGCCGAAAGTGTCGGCGTGTAAGAACATATGTAGAGATCCTCTAGGCACGGCTCCTTCCCAGAGCGATCTGCCTTCGTTCGAAAGGGGTGAGCTGCGTGAAGAGGAATGGATGTGAAGGCCGCAGTTGGACACAGCCAGATTCGAGACTGGCGCTTTAATGCGAGGACATGCTCGAGTACGTTGACGACGGGTAACATGATATCGTCCCACACCGCCCGTAAGAGGACAATCAGATCATTGCGTGGCTGCTTTAGGCCCATCTTTGATGCTTGCGGTATTGCCCTGGCGAACCGATCCTTGAGATCCTCGAGATCTGTGAGAGTGATAGATGGCAAGGCAACATTATGGGGCTCTCCTGACGTCGGGACAATGATGGCACTGCACGAGTATTTGCTGGCAATGAGGATGATGACCGGGCCAGTGCGAGCTGCAACCTGCAAGTCTTCGTACGAAGGCGGAAGTAGGAACCGCGAGAAAGCTTGGAGATTACGGATGTCAGCTACAGCAGTATCCCATTGCGTGGTAAGTCTCCTATACTCTGTTGCTGCTTGATCAGCGGCGGCTCTGTCGGTGATGGCTGCAGAACCCTGAGCGGTGTTGGAAACGCGCTTGCTCAGCTCCAAAAATTTGCGGGCTAGATGTGGATACCCCGCTTCGAGTTCTTCAACTGGAGTCTTAAGACGAGAGGCCAATGACCACTGTTGTCCACGACCCTGCTCCGCAAGTTCGACTGCACGTCGGAGATTGTCACTGCGGATGGCACACGATGCTGCGTCTACAGGTAGTGATCTGGCATAGTGGAAGGCAGCGGCAGCTTCGCGGCGCGAGGTGGTTGATGATCGCGTTCCCAAATGAGCATCCAGAAGCTCGAAAAATGTTGAGTAAGCCTCCAGTGCGGATCCATCACCAAGCTGCTCCGCTTTGATAGTCCAATTATATGCCCGAATAATGCGTTGTGGGAATCCTTGAGTAGGGTGTCGTGACGCGAGTCTGTAGTGCTCTACAGCGAGCGACAAATCAGGGGGGTTGCGTTGTACCTGGTAACGAGACAGATAGGCTTCCTGCAGCCACATCAAACCGAAGTATCTATCCGGGTGCAGTAAAGGCAAAACCACCAACGACTCTTGGCAGAGTCGAATAGCTTCCTCGACATCCTCATTCTGCCGAATTCGGGTGAAACGAGAGCAGAGCACCGAGCTCAAATTGATAAGAATTCTATGGCGCTCTGGATGGTCTAGCGGCCTTACCCGAAGAGATTCGCGATACAGATCAATGGCCTCGTTAAGATCCTCGATGACATGCAGTTTGTCATATCTGGTTTTGAGCGCGAGGGCAAGGTTGTTAAGTGTGGTGTCATGATGTGGATGCCCAGGTGGGCGCAATGTCAGTGCCTCGCGGTAGAAGCTGACAGCTCGGTTGATATAATTAACGTCACCGCGTTTGTGGAAACGGGTGTAGAGAGCGCTCCCTAGGTTGTCCAATGAGAAATCACGAAATTTGTGCCCAACAGGCCACAGGCGCAGCACTTCTTCGTTCATGGAGATGACCTCGTCGAGGTCATGGGATTTTCCTTGGTGATCAAAGCGGGATTGGAGTGAGAAAGCCAGGTTTTCAGGCAGATACCTCGGTCAGAATGTCCCTCGGGGCACAGAGAAACGGCTTCACGACCAAGTTGTATGCTCTCTTCTAGATCATCAATGCTGCCGCGTTCTCGAAATCGTGCTTTGAGTGCGAGTGCAAGAACGGTGAGGGCCCCGGGACGTCGTTGATGGCCCAGAGGGCAAAGCTCGAGCACGACTCGTCGAAGGCGGATGCCTTCATCAGATGCATCAATCGGAAGATTGTTGCATTTATTGGTCACATAATCGACCGCGCTGTCAACGCCGATGCTACGGAGGTAGGTGCCCTCCGGACAGAGGGGCAGTAGCTTGTAGCACAGCTGCAGGCATTCGTGAATGAAGACGGCGGTGCGCTCCTTGCTGTGGCGCCAGTTCAATGCTGTAATGAGATTATAGAGAGATAATGTGTGGTTGGGATGGCCCTGCGGACGCAATGCAAGGGCTTCGCGGAAGAGGGAAGTGGTGGTATCAATGTCTTGAAGTTCGTTTCGAATATAGCCTAGAAGACGGGCATACGCGAGGTTGGTTAGAGCCGCTGCGTGGTCAGGATGGTCGACCGAACAACGGCCCAGAACCGACTGAAAATGCTGTAAAGCATCGTTCAGGTGAGAGACTGTCTTGCTGGTAATGTATTCGGCATATCGTGCGTAGCCCGCCTCCGTCTCTCGAGCAATCTTGCAGTCTACGAGGGACTACAGTTGACATTCCGTCAGCAAAAGCTAACCGCAGAGGCTAGCGGCACCCACGTCAAATAGTGCATTGTCCTGATTATCGCAAGCGTGTACAACAGCGGCCATCAGTGTGAGCGAAGGAGTGACACCACCGATGGGTGGGAAGGACAGTTCTACGGGACGTGAGTAGATACGCATGAATGAGAAGTAGGTTACTCACCGAATGGTTCATCTCCATGATCGAGTAACTCATCCCACGATGTTTGAAGTTTTCCAATGATTTCACCATTTCCCAGCATTCGATCGAGCTCAAAGGACGCTCTGATCTCCACTGATAAAGAAGGTGATGCCTGTGTTCTATAAACCGAGGATGAGTACTCAAATCGCGTCCGAAAGTTTTGAGGGACTTTACAGGGTCACGGAATCTCCCCATGCTACAGATTTATCGGATGATAAGACTCTGACGGCTGATTTCCAGCGTCTCCTGAAATCGACATTGATGGATATGTAAATACCAGCGGGCATGCGCTTGGAAGGGACTTGAACATTTTTTGCACCGATGACTGTGGATAGAGCGAGAGGATCACAAAAGAGATTCCAAGGTGATATGGAGTGACTTACTTTCAAGTCTAATAGATTGGCTTTCTGCGCTACCGGGCATGATGGAACGATATTAATGAAGCAAACCGATGAGGATGGAGGCTGGGCTTCGTGGTAGGTGGAATGAGCGGTAGGAGCAGACGGGGGTAGGGATATGTGTAGATGGAGTTTGGCTGTGAGAGGGAGAGAAGAGGTTGAGGGTTTAGGTGATGACCGCACGTGTATTTCCATGTTGTTGACGGGCGTTCGGCACGATAGACGCTGGTATGATTAGACTAAGCGCTGAGACAAAAGATGACCAAGTAGAATTAGCGGGAGAACCTGTGGATGGGGAATGCCAAGGTCAGACAGGCATCAGCGAAAGTGGCACGCCAACGTTATGCGAGACTGAGCGTCCTGTGATATTTGCTTCTCCTTAGGCCGGACTGAGTGGTACGACTCATTTAACGCACCAAGGCAAAATGTAGAATCGTGTTTATGACACAAGGTAATGCAAAACAGTGAAAACAATGCACACAGAAAAAGCTGAACGATTATGTATGAGTACAATCGAGCTGATAGTACTAGTGCCATGGGGGGAAGGATGATCGAGCGCATTATGGAAACACCAGAAACAGTTTTGCGAGAGTATGAGTCGGATTCACTGAATGCGGCAGACGATACAGAGTGTGAATGCGACTTGGAAGAAGAGCAAGAAGTGCCACAAGAAGCACAGCCACCCATTCCGTACGTCCATAGTGACTTCTTCCTCTTCTTCCACTGTCATACCCTTACTCGTGGCGTGTAGCCCTCAGTTCCACCCGTCATCCGGCGCAAAACCCAACAAACGAAAAACAGACGGTTGTCTGAAACATCATCGCTACATGCCGAACCACGCCTGCATCTGATTTGCACCCTTTAGAGACGACACTGGATCTCCCCGACTTACCTAGAATCTCACATCACTTTGCTAACTTAGTTGTGGTCCAATTACGATCAAAAGCGTGGACGGCCGAGGGGATGACTGCGAGGTTATGCTTATACTGTTCAAGTTATTTCACCCTCGTACGCGGCCTGATCTTCAGGTATCCTTAGTTGGGTTCTAAGGCGGGGATATGTGTCAATTCTTGTGTGCAGGCTAAGTTGAAGCTTGAACGCCCCTTCCAAGGAAGTAGGGATCACCATTATTAGCGAATTTGTTGCATGGCTTTTATCTTTCAAATCTCTGTCCAAAAACTTGAAGCAAGCTTGTCTGACCGTGTCTAGGTGTAGTATGAGGAACGGGAGGGTGTAAGCCGACCTCGGCTTACTACGTCATAAGACACACGACGTCATCTTCTTCTGATGCGTCGCTGTAAGCTGATTGGACACCGTCGAATACTGATCACTATATACCGTGCTGTGCACATACTTACGGATCATCTCCTTTCCGTACTTCTCAATCACACTCTCTTCCAGTTATTGCTGTCTGATCTTAGTGTTGCCGTCGACGTACGGCCTTCCAGAGGGATGGTGAACAAGGAAGTTGTACGTACCTGTCAGAAAAGTGAGCGGGTGACGGAGAAGGTCAAGTAAGCTCTTCACGAGCGACAGGAGTGTGAGGAAAAATATATCGAGGATATAGAACACGGTGGCATACGGCCCTTGTCCCGAGCAAATAAGTAACATAGAATATTATTCTCCATATCAAGTGTCAGAATTGGAAACGCGGTACATCACTTGTGGGACGCACCTCGATCATTGAGGATGGCAAATGGTCAAGGACATATTGACCCTCATTAGCATGGAATAACACGCCACAAAGAGACGACATGCCCCTCATAATTTCACATTGAGAAAGGAACCCTTCAACGTAAGCTGCACGGTTCATGGAATATTTCCATCAGCCGAAGATCATGTAAAGACGACTGGTCCACGTACAAAGTTCCACGTAGCACCGACTGAACGAACGACGTCCATGGATTTTTGCCTTCATAAGCACGCGCTCTTTTGGCAGTGAGAAGTGTCCTATCGCTCATGACAAGTGTGTCTGCCGTGGTATGCGGTCGGAAAGTCAAAGCATGAAATTATCAACAGACTTCAAAACCATTCTCCTCCTCAAACGAAACTCAACCAGCTCGACAACCACGAATGCTCATCCCGTACAGGATCGCACCATACATCCAAATTCCTCAGCGGACTATAGACTTTAGCAGAGCCCAGCTATGACCAGCTGCGCGACGTTCCAGAAAAGCAGCTTCACCTCCCGAAGATTCTGTCGATAGCTCAAGTAGCAGAGGAGGGCGAGAATGAGAGCTTTGAAAGTGTTGCAGGGATCGGGGGAACTCGTATCCTTTGTTGGCGAGCAGTCAGTCGTCACCACCGCGCGTGCATCTGTGATTCGTGAATGAGAAACAGCAGTTGACGAAGCCCTCCTCGTTGGGGATATCCTCTTTTTTCTGTGCTTGCGACTGCGTATTGATGAGAGGTTTGTAACGTAGCACACAAGAAGTGAGTACCGCCTTCTGAGAGGAGTCACAGGCAACATGGCCGTATTTCTAACACTTGGTCAAAAGTTGGAGCATGTTACAAAAGATTAGGCTCACCTTCCAGTAATTGGCTGCTGACTCTTCTGCCATAAGCTCGTAGATGCAAAGGCGGCCCTACAGAGAAGTGATAAGCTTTTGCGCCCTTGATAATCACATCGAGGCAACTCACGTCTCGCATCATGTATCCATCGACGCCTACAAGTTCTGAAAACTCGAGGTTTCCTTTATAGATCTCGCCCGTTCGGCGCCAGAGACACGCTGGAACACTCATAGATGAGAAGATACGGTCGTTATCAAGAAGTAATCGCTCAAAGGCCTCTTCTATGAATACAAGGTCCTTGCACCATCGTCAATCCCATAAATACATCAACAGGGACATCAAACTCACGATATAACGTAGAGATTGTGCAACAGCCTAAGTGCGATCAGTCACTGTGTTAAATATCATAAAGGCTCCTCGCTCACTCGGAACTTGGGTCGTAGCACAGACAAAGGTTGAAGAATGTGCTGCTTTGATTGCCGAGAAACACTTGAGACGAAAAGGTATTAGATTCGTATCTCAACGCGGAGATATCGACGCACTTGCGGTCCATCCAACTTGACAATCGTGCGTAGCCCTTGACATAGCCATACGGCTTGAGCAGACCTGTCACGTATTTGCTCTGAATAACGCGGTTCAGCTGCTCGTCCTACGTACCCGACTCCTGATCTGCAGCAGTCAACAGGAACTTTTATGTCTTGGCAGCAGACGGAAGAAGAGACAGGGCAGGCTCTTCAGCGGGTCCCTCAAGGGGTGCGCTGGAGGATTGGAAGTCGCTTCAGCAGCAGACGCAGAATTTGAGATATAGGGAGTAGCCTGAAAGAATGCGGGAGTAGACATGAAGGCGGGGGTCACTGCTGGAAATGTAGTGAAGAAAGACCCCTTGTCTAATCATACCACTCGTTTCCACGTCGAATGTGAGTCGTTTGATGCAACATATGAGAAGTTAAGCGGGACCTTGGTCTTCGGATATGACTAGGCGGTGAGAATATTATTTCCACAGTGACCCGTGTCGAGTCCCACACTTGTGCAGAGACGTAGTCGAAGCTAAAAATAATAATATCGGCGGTGGTATCAACTTGGATATCTGCGTGGGCCGGAAAGGAGAATTTGACTGGGTACCGAGAGAATTCAATGGAAATTGAGGACAAGGTGACTTACATGGCGCACAACCCAAACAAGAAGAAGACCAGGAACGTTTTGGTGATCCGCATCCCTGCGATACCAAGCTTTCCACTTCTCCTGCCATTCCTTACCCTCTCGTCGACCTGACTCCGCTATGTTTTTCATCTCAGATAACTGCTATTCCGGACCAAGTGCAGGCACCGTAACAAGTTCAACTGGTGTATGAGCACTGTCGGTATCACCGTCTGTCTTGGCAGCAGGCGGAGGGGGAGGTTAGGGAAGCTGATGATAAAAAAGCAATGCTATATCTGGTCCCAACGATGATGCGTTGAACCCTGCGGATTATCCTCCCGTTAACATATGATGACTCACCATCTTGTGGACGAATGGAGGGAGCGTAGGATTGAGAGATCTATGGCATCGAGATTCGAAAGAGCCTCCTCCGTTTGAGAACAATGTCAACACATCGTGGGAAAGTGCAAACTTGTGAGAATTCTATGACTCGCAACTCCTCATTATGCATATCGTTGAGGATGAGGCCATCTGGGTGTCGAAGATACGTGTATTAGCGCTAGCTTAATGAATCGTGAGTTTGTTATTCATTGAATTTACTAACATTTATTACGAGTTCAACATAGATCTTTGGAACTCGAATATTGTAGTCCCGAGACTCTTCCTGTTCTCCCCACAAACCCACTATCGAAGTAGTCCTTAATGAGGATGCCCGCAGTCATACACTCTGGTGCACCTGCACCCACTCAATGAAGTACTGTCTATTGTGCTGTATGTCAGCTCCTCCTCTTCGATCTCGTCCCCTGCTCGCTTGCTCTTGCTCAGTGCTCGTTTATTCCTCACCCCGCTTGTTCTTGAGGATTGTTTGTCCCGCTGGACAGAAATGTGCAGTTATCCCATCCGAATTTCTGGGTCCTCCACTCATCACGCACGCCGGCAAGACTTGATCTACTCATGTCAGGTACTCCATGCTGCTCGTCTCAGTGCTGCCCTATACAAAAGGCGAGTGCGATTCCTCTAGCACAGCCAACTGATCCTAACCAGAACGACCAATTGTCATACTCTTTCGACTGGGCGCCCCAGTTGAATATCCACCGTCAGATCTGTGAATCAAGTCGGATGTTCTCATCCCATCCACGCCGAATAACCTATGCCAAACAAGAAGGCGAGGGTAGCAAGTTGCAGAGGGCATCGAACACAAGCATTTCCATTTACCTTGGCTTTGAAGGACGTGGTCGCTGACTCCTTCCTGAGCTCTTGTACTTTGGTGCTAGATGCCAGCAGACTGATACTTGACAGGAGCATAGACGTCATATTCTGCGTTGAGATGCTTTTGTTCTGAACACAAGCGGACAAATTTACTTACACTTCGTCAAAGATCCCCAGGGCCCACTTCCCTCGCCCTTGTTGTATCTCCAAAGTTACCTTGCACCGTGCAGAGCTACACCCACTGCCTCGAATATATCTATTCAGAACACTGGCAGCTCTATTCCCCCTCCAGCTGCAATTTCTGCGCACGCAACAACCGCGAGATGTGCTTGAAAGCCTGACGGCTGTGATATGTGTCAGTGAATGCATCCATCGCATATGAAACTCGCGTGCATACTAACGTTAAGGTGAAGTAGACTTGAGGATGACTTGAGGAAACACTGGGAGAGCGTTGAGCCCTGCTGCTTTGGCACGAGTAATTGGTATTAAATTACGAGTGCCTCGCCATAGGAGATGAATGCATGCATTGTCCGCCATATAATTGCACACCTCCTTGACAGATTAGCACTTAGCATGTCGTAGCAGATGTTAAAAAAAAAACTCGATGAAACTAACGACTTTGATAGGCGCGCATGTAATTTAAGGTTCTATGGTGCAGAAGGACTTGAAAGCTTGAAGTCTGACGAATGGTGTGACTGGAAAGCGTGAGTCGGCCTGAGTCAGCTCGTACAATGTACTCAAGTAGAAGACGAAGCTGCGAACGACCAGGGTACACAAAACATCAGGTAAATATTCTAGGGAAAAATAACACGAGAGAGCGTATGAAAGCGAGATAACAGGAATGCAAGAGTATCAGGGTCATGTCGACAAAAAAAAAGATGAAAGACGATCACAGATAAACAACTTGCGAATATGTACGAGACGAAGGAATACGACGTACGTAGAACTACACACCGATATGAATGAAAACCATCCTCTGCTCGAGCGGTACCTTTGTCTTCACAGCGTGTGTAGCACGGTTGAGTGCCCAAGCTGCCTTCGTACAGTCTATGACACCATCCTCCAGGTCTTCAAACATCTTCTCGTAAAAAGCTTCCACGACGTGTTTTGCTAGAACGTCACTGACCCCCCACAGCGTGCCAACGACGGTCTTGAACCCCGAAAACTGGAGTCCTGCTGCGAGGTGGATAGCTTCGTCGGGTGTCTCCTCATCGCCGACGGCGGTATGACATGCTGACAAGAATGCAAATTCAGCTTGTGGAGAATTGTTCTCCATGATGTCGAGCAGCGTAACGGGTTTGTCTCTCATGGAGAAACATGAGTTATAAGGCTGCTCGAGGTCTTGCTTGCCGTGACAAGCGAGGTGCACCCAGGTGTTGCACTGCAAAGCGTTGAGCGCACCTGCTTGTGTGGCTTCGTCTTTCGAAATATTAGTGAACTTGACGTTGGGAGGAACGAGTGTATGGACAAGCTCAAGCTCGCTGTCAACAGCCGGGAGCACGTCGCCTTGCCCTGCGCCTGGTTGACTTTGTCCGATCGCCGCGAAGGACGGAGTTCCACGCGTCTTCATCGCCTGCCGAGCTCTAACAAGAGCTGAAAGTGTGGGTGTATAAGAACAGATGTAGAGATCCTCCAGGCATGGCTCGCTCCCAGAGCGATCTGCATTCATTCGAAAGGGATTAGCTGCATGGAGAGGGATGGACGTGAAGGCTGCCGTCGGACACAGCCATATTCGAGAGCGATGGCGCAATTTCAGGTCATGCTGGAGGATGTTAACGATGGGTAGCATGATCTCGTCCCACACTATCCGCAAGAGCACTCGCAATTTCTTCCTCGGCTCCTCTGGGCGCATACGAGCCGTATGCCGGATTGCCGTAGCAAAATCGTCTTTGAGCTTCTCTAGATGTGGTAGAGTGATGCGCAGGAGGTGGACATGGTGGGGCTCTCCTGACGTCGGGACAATGATGGCGCTGCACGAGTATTTGCTGGCAACGAGGATGATGACTGGGCCATTGCGAGCTGCAACTTGCAAGTCTTTGTACGAAGGTGGAAGTAGGAACCGCGAGAAACCTTGAAGATTACGGATTTCAGCTACCACGGCTTCCCATTCCATCGTAGTTTTCCTGTACTTTGTTTCTGCTACTTCAGCTGCAGCTCTGTCGGTGATGGTTGCAGAACCCTGAGCGGCGTTGGAAACGCGCTTGCTCAGCTCCGAAAATTTGCGGGCTAGATGTGGATGTCCCAATTCGAGTTCTTCAACTGGAGTCTTGAGTCGGGAGGCCAACGACCACTGTTGGCCACGGCCCTGCTCCGCAAGTTCGACTGCGCGTCGGAGATTGTCACTGCGGATGGCACATGATGCTGCATTTACAGGAAGTGATCTGGCATAATGGAAGGCAGAGGCAGCTTCGCGGCGAGAGGTGGTTGATGATCGTGTTCCCAAATGAGCATCCAGAAGCTCGAAAAATGTTGAGTAAGCCTCCAGTGTGGATCCATCACCATGCTGCTCTGCTGTGACAGTCCAATAATATGCCTGAATGATGCGTTGTGGGAATCCTTGAGTGGGGTGTCGTGACGCGAGTCTGTAGTTCTCTACAGCGAGCGACAAATCAGTGGGGTTGTGTTGTACCTGGTAACGAGACAGATAGGCTTCCTGCAGCCGCATCAAACTGAAGTATCTATCCGGGTGCAGTAAAGGCAAAACCACCAACGACTCTTGGCAGAGTCGAATAGCCTCCTCGACATCCTCATTCTCCCGAGTTTGCGTGAATCGAGAGCAGAGCGCCGAGCTCAAATTGAAAAGAATCCTATGGCGCTCTGGATCATCAAGCTGCTTTAAACGAAGAGATTCGCGATACAGATCAATGGCCTCGTTAAGATCCTCGATGACATGCAATTTGTCATATCTGGTGTCGAGCGCGAGGGCAAGGTTGTTAAGCGTGGTGTCACGACGTGGATGCCCAGGTGGGCGCAACGTCAGTGCCTCGCGAAAGAGGCTGACAGCTCGGTTGATGTCATCAACGTCACCGTGTTTGACGAAACGGGTGCGGAGGGCGCACCCTAGGTTGTCCAATGAGAAATCACGAAATTTGTGCCCAACAGGCGACAGGCGCAGCGCTTCTTCGTGCATGGAGATGACCTCGTCGAGGTCATGAGATTTGCCTTGGTGATCAAAGCGGGATTGGAGTGAGGAGGCCAAGTTGTTCAGGCAGGTACCTCGGTCACAATGTCCCTCGGGGCACAGAGAAACGGCTTCACGACCAAGTTGTATGCTCTCTTCTAGATCATCAATGCTGCCGCGGTCTCTAAAGCGTGCTTTGAGTGCGAGTGCAAGAGCGGTGAGGGTAATGGGACGGCGTTGATGGCCCAGTGGGCGGAACTCGAGCACGACTCGTTGAATGTGGATGCCTTCGTCAGATGCACCAATCGGAATATTGTTGCATTCGGCAATCACATAATCGACCGCACTGTCTACGCCGGTGCTACAAAGGTAGGTGCCCTCTGGAGAGAGGGGCAGTAGCTTGCAGCACAGCTGCAGAGATTCGTGAATGAAGACGCTGGTGCGCTCCTTGCTGTAGCGCCAGATCAATGCGAAAATGAGATGAAAGAGAGATAATGTGTGGTTGGGATGGCCCTGCGGACGCAATGCAAGGGCTTCGCGGAAGAGGGAAGTGGTGGTATCAATGTCTTGCAGATCGTTTTGAATGTAGCCTTGAAGGCGGGCCCACGCGAGGTTGGTGAGAGCCGCTGCGTGGTCAGGATGGTCGACCGGACAGCGGTCCAGAACCAACTGAAAACGCTCTACAGCACCGTTCAGGTGAGAGACCCTCTCGTGTCTCATGTATCTGGAGAATCGTACATGGCCCGCATCTGTTTCTCGAGCAATCTCGCAGTCTACGAGGGACTACAGGTGGTGTTCTGTCAGCACAACTAACAGGACAAAGTCTGGGGTCACTCACGTCAAGCAGTGCGCCGTCCTGATTATCGCTAGCATGTACAATAGTGGCCTTCAGCATGAGCGAAGGCTTGACACCACGAACGGGTGGGAAGGACAGTTCTACGGGATGTGAGTAGATCTGCAGGAATGAGAAGTAGGTTGCTCACCGAATGGTTCATCTCCATGATCGAGCAACTCATCCCACGATGTTTGAAGTCTTCCGATGATTTCGCCATTGCCCAGCGTTCGATCGAGCTCAAAGGACGCTCTAATCTCCATTGATAAAGCAGGTGACTCGCGAGACGACCTATAAACCGAACATTAGTGTTGAATCGCGTCCGAAAGTTTGTATGGACTTTACAGGGTCATGGTATCTCCCCACGCTACGGATTTGTCGGATGATAAGATGCTGATGGCTGATTTCCAGCGTCTCCTTGAGTCGACATTGATGGACACGTAAATGCCTGCGGGTATGCGCTCAGAAGGGACTTGAAGATTTTTTGCGCCGATGACTGTAGATAGAGCGAGAATATCACAAAAGAGATTCCAAGGTGATAAGGAGTGACCTACTTTCAAGGCTAATAAATTGGCTTTCTGCGTTATCGGGCATGATGGAACGATGAAGCAAAACGATGAGGATGAAGGCTGGGCTTAGTGGTGGGTGAAATGAGCGGTCGGAGAAGACGGGGGTAGGGGTATGCGGACTGTAGATGGAGTTCAGCTGAGAGGAGGAGACGATGTTGAGGGTTTAGGTGATGACTGCACGTGTATTTCCATGTTGTTGAGGGCCGTTCGGCACGATAGACGCTTGTATGATTAGACTAAGCGCTGAGACGAAAGATGACCGAGCAGAACCAACGGGAGAACCTGTGGGTGGGGAATGCGGAGGTCAGACACATCAGCGAAAGTGGGACGCCAACGTTATGCGAGACTGAGTGTCCTGTGATGTTTGCTTCTCCTGGACTGAGTGGTACGACTCATTTAGCACACCATGGAAAAATGTAGATTCGTGTTTATAACACAAGGTAATATTGCAAAACGATGACAATAATGCACACAGAGAAAGCTGAACAATTATGTATGAGTACAATCGAGCTGATAGTGCCATGGGGGGAAAGAGGATCGAGCGCGTTATGGAAACACCAGAAACGGGTTGCGAGAGTATGAGTCGGATTCGCTGAATGGGGCAGACGATAGAGAGTGTGAATGCGACCTGGAAGACGATCAGTCTTTACATGCATGTATACAATAATGAGAGTGAATAAGAGAAAGAAAAAGAAGCACAGCCACCCATCCATACGTCCTCTTCTTCTTCCACTTTCATACTCTTACTCGTGGCGTGTAGCCCTCATATGCATGATCAGTCCCACCAATCACCCAACGCAAAAATCAACAAATCAAACGGTGGTCTGAAGCATTATAGCTACGCCTCCATCTGATTTGCACCCTTTAGAGACGACACTGGATCTCCCCGACTTACCTTCTCACATCATTTTGTTGGAACGTACTGGTGTTCTCTTGTAGTAAACAATTCGGGGCCCTGAGACATCTCGAAAGAGGTTGTGTTGGTCAAATTTTATTAATTTTTATTGGTCACCAGTTGATGAGCTTGCAAACTTTGCCTCCCGAGATGAAACACAGGTATTTCACTTGTCTGGGGGCAAGAGTGGAGACACCTTCCGATCTGTCCTATCACTACTACGGGACAGAGGACGGCTCTGAAAGTGCAGTAGAGGCTTCCTCGTATATTGATGGATAACTTGGCTGATCATGATGTGCTGTAGTATCTCAGTTACCGCTGGTCATGCCTACTCCCTTATTCTATCCCTTGCCTGTCCTAATCGATGCCATCCCCATAAATGAAGAATCCACGCTTCGTCTCTACCTGGTCTCGTCGCTCAGCGCATCGACAAGGCGATCAATCAGTTCACGACACTTCCTCAGCCCCTTCCACAATGCAAAATATTCATTAATATCACCGCATAGCCTATCCCAGACGATGAGGCAAGTGTAGCGAGTAGCAGAGGTCATCGAACGTGAGCATTCCCTTTCTCCTTTGATTTGAAGGACGTAGCCGCTGAGTCCGTCCAGAGCTCTTTGACATTAGTGTTGGATGCGGGCGGACTGATGCTTGACATGAGTATGGACGACCCATACCGTGTTGAAATGAACCATTCGATTGATTCTTGAACGGTTTGATTCAAAATACAAGCAGATAACATTTACTTACATGTTGGCAAGGATCTCCAGGGCCCACTTCCGCAGCCGTGTCTAGCATGGCATGCATATTGGTGCGTGCCATCACCCTCGCTGTATCTGCGAAGCTTACCTTACACTGTGCAGAGCTACACTCACTGCCTCGAGTATATCCGTTCAGTGATAGCAGCCATTCCCACATTCAGCGGCAATTTCTGCACGCGCAATGACTACGAGATATGCAAGAAAGCCCGACAGCAATGGTAGGTGTCAGTGAATGCGTCTATCGCATAGAAAACTCGCGCTCATACTAACGTTGACGGGAGTACCGAGCCCTTCTGTAATGGCACGAGTACGAGTAATCATTATTCAATTACGAGTAACTCGCCATGGGAGATGAATGCATGCATCGTCCGCCATATAACTGTAACTGCACACCTCCTTGAGAGATTAGCACTAGTATTGTAGCGGTTGTAAGCAATGTACAGATCAAAAAGGTCCCAGGATCGACGAAGCTACTGACTGCGATGGGTGCGCATGTTAGTTTCGTGGTGTGCTTGAAGTTTGACAAATGGTGTGACTGGAAAGCGTGAGTCGGTGTGAGTAGGCTCGTACGATGTACTCGAATAGAAGACGAGGCTGAAAACGACTAGGGTACATCAAAATCTGGGCGAATATTCTAGGGGACAATAACACGAGAGAGGAAAGCGAGATAACACCAGTGCAAATGTCAGGGCCATGACTACTAATAATAGTGAGAGAGGGGGTCGCAGGTGAGAAACTTGTGAATACGTACGAGACGAAGCAATACGACGTACGTAGAACTACACACCAATATGAATGAAAACCATCCTCTGCTCGAGCGGCACTTTTGTCATCACGGTGTGTGTAGCACGGTTGAGTGCCCAGGCCGCCTTCGTACAGTCTATGACACTGTCCTCTAGGCCTTCGAACATCTTCTCGTAAAAAGCTTCCACGACATGTTTTACGAGAGCGTCACTGACCCCCCACAGCGTGCCAACGACGCTCTTGAACCCCGAAAACTGGAGTCCAGCTGCGAGGTGGATAGCTTCGTCGGGTGTGTCCTTATCGCCGACGGCGGTATGACATGCTGACAAGAATGCAAATTCAGCTTGTGGAGAATTGTTCTCCATGATGTCGAGCAGCGTAACGGGTTTGTCTCTCATGGAGAAACATGAGTTATAAGGCTGCTCGAGGTCTTGATTGCCGTGACAAGCGAGGTGCACCCAGGTGTTGCACTGCAAAGCGTTGAGCGCACCTGCTTGTGTGGCTTCGTCTTTCGAGATATTAGTGAACTTGACGTTGGGAGGAACGAGTGTATGGACAAGCTCAAGCTCGCTGTCAACAGCCGGGAGCACGTCGCCTTGCCCTGCGCCTGGTTGACTTTGTCCGATCGCCGCGAAGGACGGAGTCGCACGCGTCTTCATCGCCTGCCGAGCTCTAATAAGAGCTGAAAGTGTGGGTGTATAAGAGCAGATGTAGAGATCCTCCAGGCATGACTCGCTCCCAGAGCGATCTGCATTTATTCGGAAGGGGTTAGCTGCATGGAGAGGGATGGACGTGAAGGCTGCCGTCGGACACAGCCATATTCGAGACTGATGCTGCAATTTCAGGTCATGCTGGAGGACGTTAACGATGGGTAGCATGATCTCGTCCCACACTACCCGCAAGAGCACTTGCAACTTCTTCCTTGGCTGCTCTGGGCGCATACGAGCCGTATGCCGGATTGCCGTAGCAAAATCGTCTTTGAGCTTCTCTAGATGTGGTAGAGTGATGCGCAGGAGCTGAATATGGTGGGGCTCTCCTGACGTCGGGACAATGATGGCGCTGCACGAGTATTTGCTGGCAATGAGAATGATGACCGGTCCATTGCGTGCTGCTGCTTGCAAGTCTTCGTACGAAGGTGGAAGTAGGAACCGCGAGAAACCTTGAAGATTACGGATTTCAGCTACCGCGGCTTCCCATTGCGTCGTAATTTTCCTGTACTTTGTTTCTGCCACTTCAGCTGCAGCTCTGTCGGTGATGGTTGCAGAACCCTGAGCGGCGTCGGAAACGCGCTTGCTCAGCTCCGAAAATTTGCGGGCTAGATGTGGATGTCTTGATTCGAGGTCCTCAACTGGAGTCTTGAGTCGAGAGGCCAATGACCATTGCTGGCCACGGCCCTGCTCCGCAAGTTCGACCGCGCGTCGGAGATTGCCACTGCGGATGGCACATGATGCTGCATCTACAGGTAGTGATCTGGCATAGTGGAAGGCAGTGGCAGCTTCGCGCCGCGAAGTGGTTGATGATCGTGTTCCTAAATGACCATCTAGAAGCTCAAAAAATGTTGAGTAAGCCTCAAGTGCAGATCCATCACCATGCTGCTCCGCTGCGACAGTCCAATCATATGCATCAATGAGACGCTCCGGAAATCCTTGAGTAGGGTGTCGTGACGCCAGCCGGAAGTTCTCCATTGCGAGTGACAAATCAGCAGGCTTGTGCTGAACCTGGTAACGAGATATATATGCCTGGCATATCTTGAAGTATGAGTAGTGCCTGTCAGGGTGGAGTAGTGGTAACACCGCTAATGACTCTTGGCAGAGTCGAATAGCCTCCTCGACATCCTCATTCTTCCTAGTTCGCGTGAAAAGAGAGCAGAGCGCCGAGCTCAAATTGTAAAGATTTACATGGCGCTCTGGATTATCAAGCTGCATTAATCGAAGGGATTCGCGATACAGATCAATGGCCTCGTTAAGATCCTCGATGACATGCAATTTGTCATATCTTTTTTGGAGCACGGCGGCGAGGTTGTTAAGTGTGGTATAACGACGTGGATGCCCAGGTGGGAGAAACGTCAGTGCCTCGCGAAAGAGGCTGACAGCTCGGTTGATGTCATCAACGTTACCGCGTTTGGAGAAACGGATGCTGAGGGCGGTCCCTAGGTTGCCCAATGAGAAATCACGAAACTCGTGCCCAACAGGCCACAGGCGCAGCGCTTCTTCCAGTATGGAGATGGCCTCGTCGAGGTCATGAGATTTGCCTTGGTGATCAAAGCGGGATCGGACTGAGACGGCCAAGTTGTTCAAGCAGGCACCACGGTCAGAATGTCCCTCGGGGCACAGAGAAACGGCTTCACGACCAAGTTGTATGCTCTCATCTAGATCATCAATGCTACCACGGTCTCTAAAGCGGATTTGGAGTGCGAGGGCAAGAGTGGTGAAGGTAGCGGCACGTTGTTGATGGCGCAGAGGGTAGAGTTCGAGCACGACTCGTCGAAGGTGGATGCCTTCGTCAGATGCATCAATCGGAAGATTGTTGCATTCGACAATCACATAATCGACCGCACCGTCTACGACGATGTTACGAAGGTAGATCCCCTCTGGACAGAGGGGCAGTAGCTTGCAGCACAGCTGCAAGGATTCGTGAATGAAGACGGCGGTGCGCTCCTTGCTGTGGCACAAGTTCAATGCGAGAATGAGATGATAGAGAGATAATGCGTGGTCGGGATGGCCCTGCGGACGCAATGCAAGGGCTTCGCGGAAGAGGGAAGTGGTGGCATCAATATCTTGCAGATCGTTTTGAACATAGCCTTGAAGGCGGGCCCGCGCGAGGTTGGTGAGAGCCGCTGCGTGGTCAGGATGGTCGACCGGACAGCGGTCCAGAACCAACTGAAAATGTTGTAAAGCATGGTTCAGGTGAGAGACTGCCTCGGTGGTCGTGTATTCGGTATATCGTGTGTGGCCAGCATCTGTCTCTCGAGCAATCTCGCTGTCTACGAGGGACTACAGTTGACATTCCGTCAGCAAAATCTAACCGCGGAAGCTAGCCTCACCCACGTCAAATGGTGCGTCGTCCTCATTATGGCAAGCGTATACAACAGCGGCCTTCAGCGTGAGCGAAGGAGTGACACCACGGATGGGTGGGAAGGACACTTCTACGGGATGTGAGTAGATACGCATGAATGAGAAGTAGGTTACTCACCGAACGGTTCATCTCCATGATCAAGCAGGCCATCCCACGAAGTTTGCAGTTGTCCAATGATTTCTCCATTTCCCAGCATTCGATCGGCCTCGTAGGACGCTCTGATCTCCACTGATAATGAAGGTGATGCCTGTGTTCTAACCGAGGATGAGTACTCGAATCGCGTCCGAAAGTTTTGAGGGACTTTACAGGGTCACGGTATCTCCCCACGCTACAGATTTGTCGGATAATAAGACGCTGATGGCTGATTTCCAGCATCTCCTTGAGTCGACATTGATGGACACATAAATGCCTGCAGGTGTGCGCCCGGAGGGGACTTGAAGATTTTTTCCGCCAATGACTGTAGATAGAGCGAGAATATCACAACAGAGATCCCAAGGTGATACGGAGTGACCTACTTTCAAGTCTAATAGATTGGCTTTCTGCGCTACCGGACATGATGGAACGATGAAGCAAAACGAAGAGGATGGAGGCTGGGCTTAGTGGTGGGTGGAATGAGCGGTAGGAGAAGACGAGGGTAAGGATATGTGTCAATCATCTGGCTGTGTGAGTCAATTCGTGGGATTGATGATTCCTTTGACCAGAAACCTCCCAGGCCGGCGACGTGTACGATAAATCGTACATGGACAATTTCGTAGATGATATGACGAGTCGGGTGCCGATTCGTTTCCATACTATGGTCAACCGGAGCATGGAATGTGTGAATTTGTGGATGCAGATAAGTAGACTGGGATCATCGACACTGACTAGGAGGTGCGTTTAAGCAGTGCACAAATTCCGGCAAGCTTTGTAAATTGCGTAATGAGAAACGTCGGTTGACAATATAGGTGCCGTCTTTGTCACAGGTGGCATTTGTAGAACATGAGTCCGGGGTCCTTCGTGATCATATTCAAGATTGCAAGTCACGCGTTGTTCTCACCAGTGACGAGGGCAGGCGTGGTGGCAAGTCAATTGCAACCAAAGCAATCGTCGACGCTGCTCTCAAGGAGTGCCCTCTCGTTGAGCACGTCCTTGTTCTCAGGCGCACAGGTGGTCAGGTAGCATGGGTCGATGGCAGGGACAAGTGGTGGCACGAGGAGACTGCCAAAGTTCCTAATTACTGCCCACCCGAGATTATGTCCTCAGAAGACCCGCTCTTCATTCTCTACGTCAGTGGCTTCTTTTCATGTATTTTTGCCTAGTCCTGATTTTTAACCTATATTTAGACTTCCGGATCTACAGGAAAACCCAAGGGTGTCGTTCATACCACTGGCGGATACCTCCTTTGCGCCGCCCTTACTGTAAAATACGTTTTCGATGTCCACCCAGACGACAAGTTCGCCTGCATGGCTAATATCGGTTGGATTACTGGCAATACCTACATCGTTTATGGACCCCTCACAAATGGAGTCAGCACTACCGTCTTTGAATCAACTCCAGTATACCCAACACCATCTCGCTACTGGCAGACCGTCCAGAAACACCAGCTTACCCAGTTCTATTCTGCTCCTACTGCCAGTCGTCTTCTTCGCAGACTCGGCTCTCAGCACGTGGAGAACCATGATCTCAGCCGTCTGCGTGTCCTCGGCTCTGTCGGCGAGCCTATTAACCCCGAAGCCTGGAACTGGTACAACGAACATGTTGGCAAGAAGCAGTGCGCTATCGTTGATACGTTCTGGTAAGTGGATTTTTGAAGCGTGAGGGAGCCGTGCTTAAGTATAATCCTGTTCAAGGCAAACTGAGACTGGATCTATCGTCGTTACCCCATTCCCTGGTGCGATTGAGACCAAGCCTGGTTCTGCAACAGTTCCCTTCTTTGCCTTGATCATGCACAGAGGTGTTGCTGAGACTGCAGTCATCGGTACTGCTGACGAGTTGACGGGACAAGCCGTCTTCGCCTTCGTCACACTTAAACCGTCAGTTTTGTCCTTTGTTTTTTGAAAGGTGATTGATTTGTTACTATCAGGGAATTCACATACGACCACAATGACGAAAGAAAATGAAGCACAGCCACCTATTTTGTACGTCCATATCCTCTTCTTCCACTTTCATACCCTTACTCGTGGCGTGTAGCCCTCAGTTCCACCCGTCATTCAGCGCAAAACCCAACAAACGAAAAACAGACGGTTGTCTGAAACATCATAGCTACATGCCGAACCACGCCTGCATCTGATCTGCACCCTTTAGAGACGACACTGGATCTCCCCGACTTACCTTCTCACATCACTTTGCTAACTTGGTTGTGGTCCAGTTACGATCAAAAGTGTGGAAGGCCGTGGGGATAACTGCGAGGTTATGCTTATGCTGGCCAAGTTATTTCACCCTCATACGCGGACTGATCTTCAGGTTCGTCCATCATGAGCAGTGACCTCTCGTGGTCCGCACTGAGTTTTTTTTGTAAGTAAACTTGTGATTGACGCTGATTATTCTCAAGATTGTTCTGCAGTATATCACTATGAACAGCACCCTGCGGACACCAGGGACGACATCGTGGACACCGTTCACGGGAGACATTGTCTTCCAAACGCAGCTCCAGTCTGACGCCCTACCATACGTGATTTCATGACGCATCTCTATCCGACTGCCCCCGCCATCCAATATCACCCCTCGAGAATTTCTGTTGACGTGTTTGGAGCTGCTGATAGGGCTCCTCCATGGCAAGTGGACTCCGCACTTCAGCGCTCAGCTGCCATACACATCACACATGTATTCACGTGTTCCATGCGGGCGGTCATATTGCATTCCTTTCATATGTAGGCTGTGCTATATCGATCGTTAATGTTGCATGAATTCCAGATTTTTCAATGCACCGCATGGAACCGAAAATGAGGAAATGACATTACGAAGTTCTGTTCAAGAGTCAAGCTAAGAAGGTTAACGTACTCGTGCTGCAAGTAATTTTTGGGAGTGTGAACAGACGACCATCTGTGATGAATCAACACGTTGCGGGTGCTAATCACCCTCAAAGCAGAAAAAGCCTGTTACATACGTTGTGCCTGTTTGGAAGCCTACAATACAGTAATATTAATGTACGAAATCCCAAACCAACCAAAAGAACATATCTCAGAGGGCACTTGACTCACCCCCGCAGGGTCAGTGCGTGACAATCTGACAGGATGTCAAGTTTGGTTAACCTGCGTGTGGCGTTTGTGTGGTCCGGGGTGGAGTCCAAACCGCAAATGTCGGGATCGTTGCATTTAAGTTGTATACGTGCCAGGATAAATGGCGAATCCAGGGACGCGGTCAACATATCCTCAATTGGGTTCTGAGGCGGGGGTATGTGTCAATTCTTTTGTGTGCAGGCTAAGCTGAAGCCTACATGCTTGAACGCCCCTTCCAGGAAAATACGGATCACCATTATTAGCGAATTTGTTGCATGGCTTTTATCTTTCAAATCTCTGTCCAAAAACTGGAAGCAAGCTTATCTTAGCGTGTCTAGGTCTTGTATGAGGAACGGGAGGGATGGTGAACAAGGAAGTTGTACGTACCTGTCAGGAAAGTGAACGGGTGACGGGGAAGGTCGAGTAATCTCTTCACGAGCGACAGAAGTGAGGAAGAAGATCTCGAGGATATGGAACGCGGTGGCCTACGGCCCTTGTCCTGAGCAAATAAGTAACATAGAATATTATTCTCAATATCAAGTGTCAGAATTGGAAACGCGGTAAATCAGAAATGTCAGTGGATGGCAAATGATAAGGGACATATTGACCCTTATTAGCATGAAATAACACGCTACAAAGAGACGGCATGCCCTCATAATGTCACATTGAGAAAGGAACCCTTCAACGTAAGCTGCACGGTTCATGGAATATTTCCATCAGCCAAAGATCATGTGAAGACGACTGGTCCACGTACAAAGTTCCACGTAGCACCGACTGAACGAACGACGTCCATGGATCTTTGCCTTCATAAGCACGCGCTCTTTTGGCAGTGAGAAGTGTCATATCGCTCATGACAAGTGTGTCTGCCGCGGTATGCGGTCGGAAAGTCAGCGTGAAATTATCAACGGACTTCACCTCAACCAGCTCGAAAAACACGAATGCTCATCATGATCGTGCCATACATCCAGATTCCTGAGCGGACTATAGACTTTTGCAGAGCCCAGCTATGACCAGCTGCGCGACGTACCAGAAAATCGCCTTCATCTCCCGAAGATTCTGTCGATAGCTCAAGTAGCAGAGGAGGGGGGGAATGAGAGCCTTGAAAATGTTGCAGGGATAGGGCGAACTCGTATCCTTTGTTGGCGAGCAGTCAGTCGTCACCACCGCGCGTGCATCTGTGATTCGTGAATGAGAAGCAGCAGTTGACGAAGCCGTTAAGCTCTTGTGCCCTTGATAATCACATCGAGGCAACTCACGTCTCGCATCATGTAGTCATCGACGCCTACAAGAAATTCGAGGTTTCCTTTATAGATCTCGCCCGTTCGGCGCCAGAGACACGCTGGAACACACATGGATGAGAAGATACGGTCGTAATCAAGAAGTAATCGCTCAAAGGCCTCTTCTATGAATACAAGGTCCTTGCACCATCGTCGATCCCATAAATACATCAACAGAAACATCAAACTCACGATATCGCGTAGGGATCGTGCAACACCCTAAGTATGATCAGCAACTGTAGCAAACATCATTAAGGCTCCTTGCTCACTCGGAACTTAAGTCGTAGCACAGACAAAGGTTGAAGAATTTGCTGCTTCGATTGTCGATAAACAAAGAAGGTATCAAATTCGTATCTCAACGCGGATATATCGACGCACTTGTGGTCTATGCACCTTGACAATCGTGCGTAGCCCTCGACATAATCATACGGCTTGAGCAGACCTGCCTCGTATTTGCTCCGAATAACGCGGTTCAGCCGCTCGTTGTGCGTACCTGACTCCTAATCTGCAGCAGTCAACAAAAAAAAAATCTGTCTGGGTAGCAGACGGAAGACGAGGCAGGGCAGGCTCTTCAGCGGGTGGCTCAGGGTGTGCTGGAGGATTGGACGTCGCTTCAGCAGCAGACACAGAATTTGAGATATATGGAGTAGCCTGAGAGAATGCGGGAGTAGACATGAGGGCGGGGGTCACTGCTGGAGATGTAGTGAAGAAAGACCCCTCGTCTAGGGTTTCCAAGAAGTCGCCGGAAAGGAGAAATTAATGGGAATTGAGGACAAGTGTGACTTACATGGTGCACAACCCAAACAAGAAGAAGGCCAGGAATGTTTCGGTGAACTACATCTCTGCGATGCCGAGCTTTCCACTTCTCCTGCCATTCATCACCATTGATTTCTCGTCGACCCCACCTGACCATGTTTTTCATCTCAGATAACTGCCATTCCGGACGAAGTGCAGGCACCGTAACAAGTTAAACTGGTTTATAAGCACTGTCGGAATCACCAACTGTCTTGGCACCAGGCGGAGGGGGAGGTTGGGGAAGCTGATGATAAATAAAGCAATGCTATATCTGGTCTAAACGATGATGCGTTGAACCCTGCGGATTGTCCTCCCATTAACATATGTATATGATGACTCACCAGCATAGAAGGAAGAAACACCAACTTGTGGACGACTGGAGGGAGTGTAATTAGGATTGAGTGATCCAGGTTAGCGCCGTTTGAGAACAATATGTCAACACATCGTGGGAAAGTGCAAACTCATGAGAATTTTCCTCCGTGACAAACTCCTCATCATGCATATCGGGCGATGCATCTGGGTGTCAAAGATATGTGTATTAACTTGGTGAATCGCGAGTCTGTAATTATATACTAACTTTTATTACGAGTTCAATTTTTGGAACTCGATTGTAGTCCCGAGACTCTTCCTGAAGTTCTCCCCACAAACCGATTATAGAAGTGGTCTTTGACGAGGACCCACGCCATCATACACTCTGGTGCACCTGCACCCACTCAATTAAGTACCGTCTATTGTGCCGTATGTCAGCTCCTCCTCTTCGATCTCGTCCCCCGCTTGCTTGCTCTTGCTCAGCGCTCGTTTATTCCTCACCCCGCTTGTTCTTGTCTCACATATTTTTAATGCCTCACCTCCCTCATATAATTGCACCCACCATTCACGCAGTTCGGACCTTGTGTAATGAATAACCACTCACAATCTTTTGCTCCCTTCCAGATCACAATTGTCGATAGCGTATCAGCTGACCTTGCAGGTACTTACCCCATACATTTTCCTTTGTGAGTTTGCTCAAGTTGAAGTGAGCAATTACCTGATACTCGTTGTCCTTCACATGGATCCTCCCGCTCATCCCCATTGTAACTGTATCTGCGGATTGAAGTTTGGGCTGTGTTAGCGGCTAAAAGGTCTGTATTCATTGCATGAGCCTCGCATTGTTAACAAGATGTTCTATCATCATCGTAGCTCATGGAATTGCATAGGACAAGGAGGGAACGGCTGTCAGTGAAGTAGGTTCAAGTGAGACAGCACGGGGCTCGGCAGCTGTTCTTTCGATTGAAGAGATCGAATCATCTTAACTCGAGGGGCTGTTGACAGGGGAGTATTTCTCCCTACTCTGTATCTGCTGACTTGTATCAGGTTAGGCACGTGTAGAGCATAATATGCGTCCTTTTGCATTCTGCACGAGTTCTACTGGAAACTGACTCAGAGAAACACGTTGAACTTTGGTTTTGTTCGGATGTCAGCGGGAGTTTCGGAGGAATCGCTGTGAGCACTTTCGGGGACTCTATGATATCTTTGCTACTAATAACTCATCAGTGTCGCTCTCTCATGAACCCGATTTTTTCTTTCCTTTTTAGTTGAATTCCCAGACGCACCTCAGCGCCTTATGCAAGAGAGATCTGCTGCATTTGCCCTAGGCTGATGCCTTGCTCTGTCATCACAAGTCTCCTGTCACCTCCGTTCAGTCACTCTACTGAATGTTTTCATGTTCTTTTTTTTCAACGTTTCTCACCAGAATTTTTTTGCTTCGTCCACTGGTCTCCCCTCGATACGTTTCACACCTTTTCACACTGCAAACTACCAATTTTTACTACTGATACTTTCATGCATGAATACTAGCCATGACCGTGACCGCCGTCCATTCCCATAGTGGCCTTCGGCCGCGTACCAATTCCCGGTACCAGCATTCGATGTATCACCACCCGGGCAACATCCGGAAGATGTGCCAGAGAGCCTCACAGCAGTGATAGGTGTCAGTGAATGCATCCGTCACAGAGCAAATTCTCGTTCATACTAACGTTAACGTGAGGTAAGCTTGAGGATGAGTCGAGAGAGTACTGGGAGAGTACCGAGCCCTTATGCTTTGGCCCGAGTACGAGTAATCGGTATTGAATCACGAGTGTCTCGCCATAGGAGAAGAATACATGCGTTGTCCGCCATATAATTGTACGCCTGCTTGACAGATTGGCACTTAGTGTCGTAGTGAACAAGAAAAGGCCCAGATGCTCCGTGGTGCAGAAAGACTTACAAGCTTGAAGCTTGAAGAATGGTGTGACGATTCATAGTCGGTTTGACTCAAGTGCCTCGTATAATGCACTCGAGCAGAAGACAAGGCTGGGAACGATTCGAGTTCAAAATGACTTGGGTGAAGATTTTATGGAACGATAACACGAAAAAGAATACGAAAGCGAGATAACAGGAGCGCAGGAGTATCAGGGTTATTTCTACAAAAAAAATGAATGAAAGAAGATCGCCGATAAACAACTTGCGAATATGTACCAGACGAAGCGATACGATATAGTAGAACTACACACCAATATGTATGAAAACCATCCTCTGCTCGAGCGGCACTTCCGACTTCACGGCGTGAGTAGCACGGTTTAGTGCCCAAGCCGCCTTCGTACAGTCCATGAACTCGCCATCCCCCAACTTCTTGACCATATTCTCATAGAAAGCTTTGACAACGTGATTTGCGACAGCGTCATTGACCTCCCACAGCGTGCCAACAACACTCTTGAACCCCGAAAACTGAAGGCCAGCTGCAAGATGGATGACTTCGTCGGGCGTCTCCTTATCGCCGACGGCGGTATGACACGCTGATAAGAACGCGAATTCAGCATGCGGGATGTCTTTCTCCATGATGTCGAGCAGCGTGAGAGGTACGTCCTTCATGACGAAATGAGAATCGTAAGGCTGTTTGTGGTCCTGTTTGCCGTGACAAGCGAGATGCACCCAGGTGTTCTGTTCCAGGGCTTCGAGTGCACCTGCTCGTGTGGCTGCGACGCCAGAAACAGTGGAACGATTGGCCGTCGCGGGGACGAGCTTATTGACAAGCTCTAGCTCGCTATCGACAGCTAAGAGCTCCTTGCCATTCCCTCCACCCGGTTGACCTTGCCCAACCGCCACAAAGGATGGAGGCACACGGCGTTTCTTCATCATCTGCCTAGATCTGATCAGTGCCGAAAGTGTCGGCGTGTAAGAACAGATGTAGAGATCCTCCAGGCACGGCTCCTTCCCAGAGCGATCTGCCTTTGTTCGAAATGGGTGAGCTGCGTGAAGAGGAATGGATGTGAAGGCCGCAGTTGGACACAGCCAGATTCGAGACTGGCGCTTTAATTCGAGGGTATGCTCAAGTAAGTTGACGACGGGTAGCATGATATTGTTCCATACTTCCCGCAAGAGGACAATCAGATCATTGCGCTGCTGCTTTAGGCCCATCTTCGATGCTTGCAGTATCGCCCTGGCGAACCGATCCTTGAGATCCTCCATATATGCGCGAGTGATGGATGGAAAGGGAACATTATGGGGCTCTCCTGACGTCGGGACAATGATGGCGCTGCACGAGTTTTTGCTCGCCACGAAGATGATGACTGGTCCATAGCGAGCTGCTGCTTGCAACTCTGTGTACGAAGGTGGAAGTAGGAACCGCGAGAAAGCTTGGAGATTACGGATTTCAGCCACAGCAGCATCCCATTGCATGGTAAGTCTCCTATACTCTGTTGCTGCTCGATCAGCAGCAGCTCTGTCGGTGATGGCTGCAGAACCCTGAGCAGCGTTGGAAATGCGCTTGCTCAGCTCCAAAAATTTGCGGGCCAGATGTGGATGTCCCGATTCGAGGTCTTCAACTGGAGTCTTGAGTCGGGAGGCCAATGACCATTGCTGGCCACGGCCCTGCTCCGCAAGTTCGACCGCACGTCGGAGATTGTCACTGCGGATGGCACATGAGGCTGCATCCACAGGTAATGATCTGGCATAATGGAAGCCAGCGGCAGCTTCGCGCCGCGAAGTGGTTGATGATCGTGTTCCCAAATGAGCATCCAGAAGCTCAAAAAATGTTGAGTAAGCCTCAAGTGCGGATCCATCACCATGGTGCTCCGCTGCGACAGTCCAATTATATGCATCAACGAGACGGTTCGGAAATCCTTGAGTAGGGTGTCGTGATGCCAGCCGGAAGTTCTCCATTGCGAGTGACAAATCAGCAGGCTTGTGTTGAACCTGGTAACGAGATATATATGCCTCACGTATCCTGAAGTATGAGTAGTGCCTGTCAGGGTGGAGCAGTGGCAAAGCCGCTAATGACTCTTGGCAGAGTCTAATAGCCTCCTCGACATCCTCATTCTTCCGAGTTCGCGTGAAACGAGAGCAGAGCGCCGAGCCCAAATTGTTGAGAGTGCTATGGCGCCCTGGATGATCAAGCCGCTTCAACAGAAGAGATTTGCGATACAGATCAATGGCCTCGTTAAGATCCTCGATGACATGCAATTTGTCATATCTCTCTTTGAGCGCGAGGGCAAGGTTGTTAAGCGTGGTGTCACGACGTGGATGCCCAGGTGGGTGCAACGTCAGTGCCTCGCGAAAGAGGCTGACAGCTCGCTTGATGTCATCAACGTCACCGTGTTTGTTGAAACGGGTGCGGAGGGCGCCCCCTAGGTTGCCCAATGAGATATCACGTTTTTTGTGCCCAACAGGACGCAGGCGCAGCGCTTCTTCGTGCATGAAGATGACCTCGTCGAGGTCATGGGATTTGCCTTGGTGATCAAAGCGGGATTGGAGTGAGAAGGCCAAGTTGTTCAGGCAGGTACCTCGGACAGAATGTCCCTCGGGGCACAGAGAAACGGCTTCACGACCAAGTTGTATGCTCTCTTCTAGATCATCAATGCTGCCGCAGTCTCTAAAGCGTGCTTTGAGTGCGAGTGCAAGAGTGGTGAGGGTAAAGGGACGGCGTTGATGACCCAGAGGGCGGAACTCGAGCACGACTCGTCGAAGGTGGATGCCTTCGTCACATGCACCAATCGGAATATTGTTGCATTCGCCGATCACATAATCGACCGCACTGTCTACGCCGATGCTACAAAGGTAGGTGCCCTCTGGACAGAGGGGCAATAGCTTGCAGCACAGCTGCAGGCATTCAAGAATGAAGACGGCGGTGGGCTCCCTGCTGTAGCGCCAGTTCAATGCGAAAATGAGATGATAGAGAGATAATATGTGGTCGGGATGGCCCTGCGGACGCAATGCAAGGGCTTCGCGGAAGAAGGAAGTGGTGGTATCAATGTCTTGGAGATCGTTTTGAATGTAGCCTCGAAGGCGAGCCCACGCGAGGTTGGTGAGAGCCGCTGCGTGGTCAGGATGGTCGACCGGACAGCGGTCTAGAACCAACTGAAAATGCCGTAAAGCATCGTTCAGGTGAGAGACTTTCTTGCTGGTCATGTATTTGGCATATCGTGCGTGGCCCGCATCTGTCTCTCGAGCAATCTTGCAGTCTACAAGAGACTATAGTTGACATTCCGTCAGCAAAAGGTAACCGCAGAGTCTAGCGTCACCCACGTCAAATATTGCGCCGTCCTGGTTATCGCAAGCGTGTACAACAGTGACCTTCAGCGTGAGCGAAGGAGTGATACTGCGGATGGGTGGGAAGGACAGTTCTACGGGATCTGAGTAGATACGCATGAATGAGAAGTATGATACTCACCGAATGGTTTATCTCCATGATCGAGTAACTCATTCCACGATATTTGAAGTTTTCCGATGACTTCGCCATTGCCAAGCGTTCGGTCGAGCTCGTAAGATGCTCTGATCTCCACTGATAATGAAGGTGATGCCTGTGTTCTGCAAACCGAAAATCAGTGTTGAATCGCATCCGAAGGTTTCCATGGACTTTACAGGGTCATGGTATCTCCCCACATTACGGATTTGTTGGATGACAAGACACGGATGGCTGATTTCCAGCGTGTCCTTGAGTCGACATTGATGGACACGTAAATGCCTGCAGGCATGCGCCAGGAGGGGACATTGAGATTGTTTCCGCCAATTACTGTAGATAGAGGGGGAGGATCAGAAAAGAGATACGAAGGTGATAGAGAGTGACATACCTTCAAGCCTTATAGATTGGATTTCTGCGCTACCGGGCATGATGGAACGATGAAGCAAAACGACGAGGATGGAGGCTGGGCTTAGTGGTGGGTGGAATGAGCGGTAGGAGAAGACGGGGGTAGGGATATGTGTAAATGGAGTTTGGCTATGAGAGGGAGAGAAGGGGTTGAGGGTTTAGGTGATGACTGCACGTGTACTTCCATGTTGTTGAGGGCCGTTCGGCACGATAGACGCTGGATTGATTAGACTAAGCGCTGGGACGAAAGATGACGAGTAGAATTAGCGGGAGAACCTGTGAGTGGGTGGGGATGCCAAGGTCAGACACATCAGCGAAAGTGGCACGACAACGTTATGCGAGACTCTGAGCGTCCTGTGATGTTTGCTTCTCCTGGACTGAGTGGTACGACTCATTTAGCACACCATGGAAAAATGTAGAATCGTGTTTATAACACAAGGTAATGCAAAACGGTGAAAACAATGCACACCGAAAAAGCTGAACGATTATGTACGAGTACAATCGAGCTGATAGTACTAGTGCCATGCGGGTCGAAGGAGGATCGAGTGCATTATGGAAACACCAGAAACGGTTTGCGAGAGTATGAGTCGGATCTAGATGATATAGCTGAATGCGATGATACAACGAGTGACGAACTCGAGCATGAATGTGTCCTGGAACAAGAGTCAGTACTACCAGTCGAAGTGTCACCCTGCAGTCCATTTCTTGGTTTCGAACTTTTCATCAACCGCTTTGGCACGGATGTCAACCAGAGAAAGAAAAAGAACCACACCCACCCATTCCAGTAACCGCGCCACTTCGCCGACGTTGAATACAGCTGCAGTGCGCAAGAGTCAATTCACCAAGGGAAGAAATTGAAGCAGGCTCACGTGCACGTTCTCACGGTGTAACACGATTTGAAATTGAGACTACTCTCGCAAACTACAACAAGTTCCTTCTCCACAGGCGACTTGAAACATGTTAAAGCGACCCCACACCAAGCAGACAAAGATGGCACAATGTGGATAGCTTGAGTTTTCATTGGAGGGATGGTTCAAACGGATGTTTATGCGCTCCTGGGTTGACCTGCAGAGGGATGGTTAGGATGAGATGCTTGTTTCAGACTCGTCCCACATATTGTACATAGTTTGCGAATCTCATTCTTTGCAGTGAAGACACGGGCCTTATGCACCGATGGATCACTGTGATTCAGAATACAATTTTGTCAACATCAAAAGAAGCTATTGCTAAGTACTCCGAAGATTGAAGCATGTCCGCTGGGAACATTCATGAATTGAACATACCGCAGCTCAAGCGCTCAGTGGAAGCTTGATATCTATCTTGATGTGAAACAGATCAACTTGAAGTCATCCTAGCACACAGAAATTGAATCATTGACTAATGCCAGCATAAATATAATCCAATATTCTGTCTGCACACCATGAAAGTGTGAGCACGCCGTAAATAGTACAGTGGAAAAAAAAAGACAGACTAGCAAGGCAAACGTGCAGACCGTGAAAAAGAGACGGATGGTCATATTGCTCGATATCCAAGGCTATGTGATGGCGAAGATGGTGCAACGTCCCCCAGAACACAATAGAACCAGAATAAGCAGATAGACGCGTGAATAAGTCCAGCAATTCACCGTCATCCTGAATCAATGAGCAGCTCAATAGGGCAAGGAGCCGCATCTCCCTGTGTGGATGTCGACGGCAGTCCGGCAATATCCATATGAAATATGCGCTTGAAGCTCACGCCTGTCGATCTCATGAGCAAATAGAAGCAGCCATAAAATACGCACTAAGTAACCTTGCCTTTACCCGGTAGTATAAAACCCGGGATTATTGCAGGCATTATGCCAGTCGTTTCCACATCGGATCCGAGTCGTTTGATGCAACATAAGAGAAGTTAAGTGGGACATGGATATTTGGATGACTTGGCGCGGAGGGTGTCTTTTCCAAAATAAACCATGCCGAGTCCCACACTTGCGTAGTCAAAGCTAAGGGGAATAATATTGGCGGTGGTATCAACTTGGATACCTGCGTACAACGGAAAGGAGAAATCGGCTGGGTACCGAGAGAATTCAGTAGGTATCGAGGCGTGGTAGTTCCCAGTAGCGGCAACCAGAGGTGTGGAGCTGTTGAATGACAGAATAGGTACTCGAGGGATAGTGATTGCGATAGTGCGAATGCTACAAAAGCCTTTAATATCTCTGTGCTCAGGAGGACGAGTGTGACTTACATGGCACACAAACCAAACAAGAGGAAGGCAAAGAACCTTTTGGTGAACTAATTTCTGCAGACCCATCTCCCCGCGATCCAGGCTTTCCACTTCTCCTGCCGCTTCTCACCGGTTTGTGAGCACTGTCGGCATCACCCTCTGTCTTGGCACCAGATGGAGGGAGAGGTAGGGAAGCTGATGGCAGTTGCAATCGGTTAGTATAGTAGAACCCGTGATCTCTATTATGTGCATACCCGGCTTTCGATGTCGCCCAATGGCCAAAGTAGTTTTATATCTGGTTCTATGTGTCTGGCGGCAAGAAACGATGATGTGTCAATGGTGTACCCTGCGGATCGTCCTCGCGTTAACATATGATGTATTCATGGCTCGCCTGCTGCAGGAAATCGAAGGAGCCTGTATGGTTGAATTGAGTTGACACTGGCGAGCTCTAAGAACGGAATCAAGTTCAATCAACCGTCAACGTTTCAACTGTAACGATCGTGGGAAAGTGCGAACTTACCATAATCACTCGCGAGTCGCAACTCCTCATTTAATTTTATGTATACCTGCAGCAGTAACGCAGCATTTTTTGTGCCTACTCAGATGCAGATCTATCAGCTTATTCTGTGTTGACCCGAGTCCAGTATTTCAACACGCATTCGCCGACTTCGACAATTTCCCACTCAAGTCTCAAATTCACATAGTAGAAGCAGGAAAACCTCGCTATATGAGAAAAGGGCGGTAGCAGGCTCACGCCGTGGCCCCATTTGTATGCAATCTGCCAATGTGCCACAGGCCCTGACTCTATCCATGTCTCACGATGCGAAACAATGACACTTCACCAAACGGTATTTTAATGCAAGGTACCTTTGATATGTACGTACAGGCCTTCTATCCCCTCACCCCAAACTCACATCCCAACTTCGCGAACGAACCCACTTTCTCCGTGACTTTCAACTCAAAGACTACGCACCATAAATCCTCGCGCAGTCCAGAAGTATTTGAACTGGATTGATAGCGATAGGGTGTTGGACCTTGGTCCGGAGAACTAGGCTTCGTTGAAAGGGATAGCGAGATCTCGTGACTAGGAAGGTAGAAAGAATGTACGAGGATTGATGGTGTTTGAGGTATGCCCACACTTTCACTTCCTTTCTAATTCATGCGCATCGTCCTCAGTCCCGCCAATCCAATGGGAAATCATGGCCAGAGATACGACACTTGATCTTCCGGATTCTTCTCCAGCAACGTATACCGTTGGTGCGCGCTTATGCATGTCACTTGTTGCGCACCAACGTTCTACTTCTAATGGTAAGAGCAATGGGAGTGTGAATACGCACACCTGATATCCCAAATCCTGCCACACCCACCCCACCGATCTCACAAGGTAGGTTACTCCACATCATCTTAGTATTATTTATTCACCCTTGCGCGCTATCTAACAAATCCGAAAGTGTCTTCTGAGCGCATACCCGCAAGCGTTTACGTGCTCGTCGCTGTTACCTGAAGACACCATAAATCAGCCGGCCGAATCCTATCATCCACCGTATTTATAGCCTCGTGGGCCAATACCGTGATTTTGTAAAGTATTCTGTGGAGACTTTCGGACACAAGTTAAATACTGATACTCGATGTGTAGGTCACCAGATGTATGACGTTGATTACTACTACAGATCAGGACATCCTTCGAGCTCAGTCCGATACTAGGTTACGGAGAAGTCGTTACCGATCTTGAAATGGCATAGGATGAGCTGCTCGATTATGCATGTGAGCTTTTCGGTGAGCGATCTGCTTTCCATCCACGCGCATTTACCTTGTCGTAGATCTGACCTTCCCAAATGTTCGTAGTGGTGACCCTTCCCTTTCACCTAAGGCTGCTGCTGTATATGCTTGCGAAGATCAGGTTGGTGCATTGTTTCACGTAAGTTCTGAGTGCTACAAGGACTACTCGTCTTGATCTTCAATCGGATCACGCTCAGATTCTTCCATGAACCCCCTCTTCATGTGAAACTATAACGGCCATGGTTCGTTATTTCTTATGCTACCGAAGGTCAATTTCATCTTCATGTCAATGAACGAGGTGCGTCCCGCCTTGTACCGTGTTTCCGAAGTTTATATTCATCTTGCTGACGGTCCAAGTCGAGAATAAAGTCAGCGACCATGGTCCATGCCAATACCACGCACCATATCCTGTTCGAGCTTGCAACATGAGCAGTATCATCAGTGCGTTGCGGGACATGAGCCGATTTCAAGCAAGGCGGGTGAATGAATGTTTGCGATGCAGCAATCATCATTGATTTTGAATGCCAGCAGCGGCCATTGCGGAGGGAGTCACGATCTCACAAAGATGATAGATGTACGTCATACTTTTCCTAGAGGTTATTCTTTGCGGACGAAACATTAAATTTGCTTGTGAATGACTGCAAAAAGCGGTGATTTTTTTCAACACTCCTCAGACAGAAGATAACCTCGTAATGATCGATCGATCGATGTATGTTATCTTACGGTGCTCGGTCTATCCAGTTAATAACGAAGCTTCCTAGATGCTTGAATTAACATGGTTCTTGGAGAAAGATTGCGTCTGAAAGCCTTGCCAACGACATCCACCAGACCAGGCTCATGTATAGGCATGCCTTCGCTAAACCGGATAATATATCATATAGCGCAGTGGCCATGATAACATCACACGTTTGTGTGGACCAGACTGCCCACTGAAGGAAAGAAGGAAGCCTGCCTTGCCTTGGTCTCCGTGATCTCCTGGTAGGTGGGACGGTGGATTTTGGGGAGCGCTGTAGCCCCCAAGAATTACAGCGCTCGTGAGAGAGGGAGTGTGGAGTATATAAAATCCATGAACGAGTACAGCATGGCGGTATTGTTGCGTGTGTTTGCAAGAGTCTCAGTCTTGCCCCGAGTGCGTCACTGATCGCTTGCGAGAACGATATGGACACTCCCCTCCTAACCAAACCTCCACACAGTCCTCATCGCTCCCTCCTAAAACCAGCAAACAGCGACAGTGGCACCCCACCACTACTATATTACCTATACGCTTCCTCCACCGCGTTTATACACGTAATCAACGCAATCTGCATCCCATGTACACAATTTATGTCCTTCACCTACCTCGAATCTATGTGTTCGCCGTCTGGAAGGGCTGCCATTCCCTGATTCAGCTTCGAATTCTCCATATGTGCAACAACAGTGAGATGTCATGAGGCGGCTGAGAGGTCAGGCGATGTGCATATTTGTGCAGCATCCGTCGCAGAGGGAACAAGCACGACTTCGGTAACGGGAACTAGTTGGAGGTGTGAGCATAGATTGATAAGGTAGTACGAGATGATGTCGCAAATATTCGAATTCATGCGTCAGTGGAGACTGTAGAGTGGAAAACAACATTGAAAATGCAAAGCAAACGCAAACGCGAAAAACAAGAGGGCAGAAGAGTACGTGACGGATGTAACAAGGTAGTTCAGTGATTCCTACAACTTAGGGTACAACGTAAACAAATGAGAATACAATGCAAAGAACCCGTGAAACCATACAGGATGAAAGCAAAGCAACACAGCAGGAACTACACACCGATATGAATGAAAACCATCCTCTGCTCGAGCGGTACCTTCGTCTTCACAGCGTGCGTAGCACGGTTGAGTGCCCAAGCTGCCTTCGTACAGTCTATGACACCATCCTCCAGGTCTTCAAACATCTTCTCGTAAAAAGCTTCCACGACATGTTTTGCTAGAACGTCACTGACCCCCCACAGCGTGCCAACGACGCTCTTGAACCCCGAAAACTGGAGTCCTGCTGCGAGGTGGATAGCTTCGTCGGGTGTCTCCTCATCGCCGACGGCGGTATGACATGCTGACAAGAATGCAAATTCAGCTTGTGGAGAATTGTTCTCCATGATGTCGAGCAGCGTAACGGGTTTGTCTCTCATGGAGAAACATGAGTTATAAGGCTGCTCGAGGTCTTGCTTGCCGTGACAAGCGAGGTGCACCCAGGTGTTGCACTGCAAAGCGTTGAGCGCACCTGCTTGTGTGGCTTCGTCTTTCGAAATATTAGTGAACTTGACGTTGGGAGGAACGAGTGTATGGACAAGCTCAAGCTCGCTGTCAACAGCCGGGAGCACGTCGCCTTGCCCTGCGCCTGGTTGACTTTGTCCGATCGCCGCGAAGGACGGAGTTCCACGCGTCTTCATCGCCTGCCGAGCTCTAACAAGAGCTGAAAGTGTGGGTGTATAAGAACAGATGTAGAGATCCTCCAGGCATGGCTCGCTCCCAGAGCGATCTGCATTCATTCGAAAGGGATTAGCTGCATGGAGAGGGATGGACGTGAAGGCTGCCGTCGGACACAGCCATATTCGAGAGCGATGGCGCAATTTCAGGTCATGCTGGAGGATGTTAACGATGGGTAGCATGATCTCGTCCCACACTATCCGCAAGAGCACTCGCAATTTCTTCCTCGGCTCCTCTGGGCGCATACGAGCCGTATGCCGGATTGCCGTAGCAAAATCGTCTTTGAGCTTCTCTAGATGTGGTAGAGTGATGCGCAGGAGGTGGACATGGTGGGGCTCTCCTGACGTCGGGACAATGATGGCGCTGCACGAGTATTTGCTGGCAACGAGGATGATGACTGGGCCATTGCGAGCTGCAACTTGCAAGTCTTTGTACGAAGGTGGAAGTAGGAACCGCGAGAAACCTTGAAGATTACGGATTTCAGCTACCACGGCTTCCCATTCCATCGTAGTTTTCCTGTACTTTGTTTCTGCTACTTCAGCTGCAGCTCTGTCGGTGATGGTTGCAGAACCCTGAGCGGCGTTGGAAACGCGCTTGCTCAGCTCCGAAAATTTGCGGGCTAGATGTGGATGTCCCAATTCGAGTTCTTCAACTGGAGTCTTGAGTCGGGAGGCCAACGACCACTGTTGGCCACGGCCCTGCTCCGCAAGTTCGACTGCGCGTCGGAGATTGTCACTGCGGATGGCACATGATGCTGCATTTACAGGAAGTGATCTGGCATAATGGAAGGCAGAGGCAGCTTCGCGGCGAGAGGTGGTTGATGGTCGTGTTCCCAAATGAGCATCCAGAAGCTCGAAAAATGTTGAGTAAGCCTCCAGTGTGGATCCATCACCATGCTGCTCTGCTGTGACAGTCCAATAATGTGCCTGAATGATGCGTTGTGGGAATCCTTGAGTGGGGTGTCGTGACGCGAGTCTGTAGTTCTCTACAGCGAGCGACAAATCAGTGGGGTTGTGTTGTACCTGGTAACGAGACAGATAGGCTTCCTGCAGCCGCATCAAACTGAAGTATCTATCCGGGTGCAGTAAAGGCAAAACCACCAACGACTCTTGGCAGAGTCGAATAGCCTCCTCGACATCCTCATTCTCCCGAGTTTGCGTGAATCGAGAGCAGAGCGCCGAGCTCAAATTGAAAAGAATCCTATGGCGCTCTGGATCATCAAGCTGCTTTAAACGAAGAGATTCGCGATACAGATCAATGGCCTCGTTAAGATCCTCGATGACATGCAATTTGTCATATCTGGTGTCGAGCGCGAGGGCAAGGTTGTTAAGCGTGGTGTCACGACGTGGATGCCCAGGTGGGCGCAACGACAGTGCCTCGCGAGAGAGGCTGACAGCTCGGTTGATGTCATCAACGTCACCGTGTTTGTTGAAACGGGTGTGGAGGGCGCTCCCTAGGTTGCCCAATGAGAAATCACGAAATTTGTGCCCAACAGGCAACAGGCGCAGCGCTTCTTCGTGCATGGAGATGACCTCGTCGAGGTCATGAGATTTGCCTTGGTGATCAAAGCGGGATTGGAGTGAGCCGGCCAAGTTGTTCAGGTAGGCACCACGGTCAGAATGTCCCTCGGGGCACAGAGAAACGGCTTCACGACCAAGTTGTATGCTCTCTTCTAGATCCTCAATGCTGCCGCGGTCTCTAAAGCGCGCCTTGAGTGCGACTGCAAGAGCGGTGAGGGTAATGGGACGGCGTTGATGGCCCAGAGGGCGGAACTCGAGCACGACTCGTTGAAGGTGGATGCCTTCGTCAGATGCATCAATCGGAAGATCGTTGCATTCGCCGATCACATAATCGACCGCATTGTCTACGCCGATGCTACGAAGGTAGGTGCCCTCTGGACAGAGGGGCAGTAGCTTGCAGCACAGCTGCAGGCATTCGTGAATGAGGACAGCGGTGCGCTCCTTGCTGTAGCGCCAGTTCAATGCGAAAATGAGATTATAGAGAGATAATATGTGGTCGGGATGGCCCTGCGGACGCAATGCAAGGGCTTCGCGGAAAAAGGAAGTGGTGGTATCAATGTCTTGGAGATCGTTTTGAATGTAGCCTCGAAGGCGAGCCCACGCGAGGTTGGTGAGAGCCGCTGCGTGGTCAGGATGGTCGACCGGACAGCGGTCCAGAACCAACTGAAAATGCTGTAAAGCATCGTTCAGGTGAGAGACTGTCTTGGTGGTCCTATATTCGGCATATTGTGCGTAGCCCGCATCTGCGACCGAACAGCGGCCCAGAACCGACTGAAAATACTGTAAAACATCATTCAGGTGAGAGACTGTCTTGGTGGTCCTATATTCGGCATATTGTGCGTGGCCCGCATCTGTCTCTCGAGCAATCTCGCAGTCTACGAGGGACTACAGTTGACATTCCGTCAGCAAAAGCTAACCGCAGAGCCTAGCGTCACCCACGTCAAATAGTGCGCTGTCCTGATTATCGCAAGCATGTACAACAGCGACCTTCAGCGTGAGCGAAGGAGTGACACTGCGGATGGGTGGGAAGGACAGTTCTACGGGATGTGAGTAGATACGCATGAATGAGAAGTAGGTTACTCACCGAATGGTTCATCTCCATGATCGAGCAGGTCATCCCACGATGTTTGAAGTTTTACGATGATTTCACCATTGCCAAGCGTTCGGTCGACCTCGTAAGATGCTCTGATCTCCACAGATAATGCAGGTGACTCGTGTGATGATCTATAAACCGAAAATCAGTCTTGAATCGCGTCCGAAAGTTTCTATGGACTTTACAGGGTCATGGTATCTCCCCACACTACGGATTCGTTGGATGATAAGACACGGATGGCTGATTTCCAGCGTCTCCTTGAGTCGACATTGATGGAGACGTAAATGCCTGCAGGCGTGCGCCAGGAGGGGACTTTGAGATTTTTTCCGCCAATGACTGTAGATAGAGGGGGAGGATCACAAAAGAGATCCCAAGGTGATACGGAGTGACCTACTTTCAAGTCTTATAGATTGGATTTCTGCGTTACCGGGCATGATGGAACGATGAAGCAAAACGATGAGGATGGAGGCTGGGCTTAGTGGTGGGTGGAATGAGCGGTAGGAGAAGACGGGGGTAGGGATATGTGCACTGTAGATGGTGTTTGGCTGAGAGGGAGAGAAGAGGTTGAGGGTTTAGGTGATGACTGCACGTGTATTTCCATGTTGTTGAGGGCTATTCGGCACGATAGACGCTTGTATGATTAGACTAAGCGCTGAGACGAAAGATGACCGAGTAGAATTAACGGGAGAACCTATTGGTGGGTAATGCGGAGGTCAGACTCATCGGTGAAAGTGGCACACCAACGTTATGCTAGACTCTAAGCAGGCACGCCAACGTGTGCGAGACTGAGCGTCCTGTAATGTTTGCTACTCCTGAACTGAGTGATACGACTCATTTAGTACACCAAGGCAAAATTTATGTAGCATCGTATTTATAACACAAGGTAATGCAAAACGGTGAAAACAATATTTACACAGAGAAAGCTGAACGATAGTGTATGAGTAATATGAGCTAATAGTGCCATGGGGGGAAAGAGGATCGAGCGCGTTATGGAAACACCAGCCACCACACTTTGAAGTAAAATAAAAGGAGAGATTTATGTCGGGAAAATCCCAAATAAAAGTGAGATTTACAAGAGATAAACATAAGATAACGACAGTACGATTATCCTATGTTTAGTCACAGTTTACCATACATTTTCTCTCAATAAAGTCTTTAGTTTTCCTAGAATATTCACTGCCATTTATTCTTAGCATACGAAGCGATACAGATTTGCCATACGCTACATATCGATGATTGCATCAATTCTAGCCTTCTACCACCTTCTATCACTTCCCAATCTTTTTCCGTGCTCCGTACCAACCCCCAGCAGCCCCCAGCAGGCCAGAACATGGCAGGACCACACCGAAATGTGCCCGACAAACCCCCTGGTGTGCCCCTCAAGCCCACTAGTAAACTGGGTCCGCTGGGAAAGAAGAGGGTGTTGGAAACCCCAGCGAGTGCATCTGCCTTGAAACGACCACGGCCTACACTGGCAGGAGGAGATGGAGGACCGGGGGTATTTCTCAATCCATTCCCTGAACCCTTCGACCCAGGCATGAGTGTTAGTGAATCTGAAGAGTTGACCCGAAGGATACACCAGCGGATGGATCAGGATTCGAGCGAGGCCATGAGCGAGATTGAGCAAGCGACCGAAGACATCAATTCAGCTATTGATCCCAGCCTTCGAGATATGGAGCCCACGTCAGCCTTGACTGAACAGCGTCTCAGCCACGAACGTGTACCTACGCTAGACAGTGGTCCCATCCAAAATGCAGCCTATATGCATCCCCAAGGGCGCGGGAGTGTATCTGCTTCACGTGCACCAGCCTCAGCTCCTTCTCGACCTGTTTCAACTTCTATACGAGGTCCTACCCCCGATGCAGTGACTGCGAGTCGAACACGTTTGGTGACTCCAAGCACTACCGGCAGTGCATTCGAACCTACCTCACGTCGTCTAGGAGCACCACCTCTCAAACCGTCAGCACCATCCAGTCAGTTTCGAACTCCCGACATACCTCCTGTTCGTCGCGCGGGCTTCTCAATTAGCACCGAACCTTCACAGCGTGCAGCTGCAACATCACTATCGAGCTCGCGAGTCACTAGTGCTGCATTTACAGACAAAATTGCGAACCTGGATACCATTGTCGCACAGCTTTCTGAGAAAGTCGATCGGTTGACGCTGCAAAGTAGAGAATCAGCTGAAATCAAGCCTCGAATTGAAGAACTCACCCAAGAGAACAATATGCTGCGAGCAAATGTCGAAGATCACCGTGCTGCGATACATGAACTCGAAGCAACTGTTGATGCACAGAGTGCATCACTGGAAGAACTGCTCACATTGATCAATGGACTTAGGTCTGCCGGAGCCACACCACCAACAGTCAAGTCGGTTGACAAAGCAACAAAAGCAGTTCGCGACAACGTGTTTAATGTGAGTTCATGCACGACATTCATCAATATATGTACTTACCGTGTCCCAGAATGCAATACGGCACACCTTCTTCCACGCAATGGGGATTTCCGATTCCAAGCAGGCAACGTCATTGGGCGTCCTTGACGACGGTTCGTTCTGGTTCAAGTGCCCAACACGAGACGCGAATCTTCTGCGACCGAACTTTGCTGGATCGTGGTCAGAGAATGCGGATTGGCGGGATGATATGGTCCGCTACATCCGACTAAAAGCCTGTGAAGTTTTTGCTCAGCTTCCCGTTGACCATCTCTCGCAAAAAACGGATACCGATATCATCAAACAGCTGAAGGAGGTGTTTGAGAACACCAGGGGGTCCATCAAAAAAGGAAGCAAGGGGCAAGATGCACTGGAGGCAAGAAATCGCAAGCAGCGACAGACTGCTCGAAAGAATCGCGTGAGTATTTTGACGGACTGTATGTGCCTTTTAATGAAGTCACGCGCTAGAAAAACATAGAGAGATCAGCAATTGAAATACGAAAAGAGACGGGAACAGATGGACCTGAGTGGGATTGGTTCTTCCAAGTTGGTTATCAATCAACGGATGAATCCGACGGTGGTGGTACTCACAATGGTAAACGTGTGGTTGACTTCGCATCAGACAGCGAGACCGCTCAAGTACCGCCAATCAAGAAATCTTCGAAGTCCAAGAATGCGGACACAGTATGGACCTCTCGTCCTCCGTGTTATCGTGGCGAACAGGTGAAATGAGCCGGTGACTGTCATAACCGACCTAATCATGTTTGCAGGTCAATGAGAAAGTTAGCCTGATCAACGACGCTGTCAATAAAAGAAGAGCGGATCGAAAAAACTTCATTGTTCCCATCGTCGTAGGTGAAAAACGTGACAAAGATCTCCCAAAGCCCGCAAACAACAAACTCAAGATCCGACGGGAGTTCATCAATCCTGCCTGGCTTGCGGAGAATTCACAAATGGATGTCCCATCCCGAGTCGATGCTGATGCTCCAACACGACCCTGCGACCCTGACGCCAGTCGTGGACTCGGAGATGAATATGTCAGCGGAAATGACACACTGTATGATGGGGGTGATGAAGATGATCTGGAAGAATAAGGTCGCGCACCTGATAGAATGCAGAGTTCCTCCCCTTCGCGTGGACAGATGAAATGGACTTGAAATCCTGTAGTATTAGGCTCGCAATTCGGACAACAGACCATGTATTTGTATTTCGGCTGCTGTACTATTCTTCGTCAAGCTCGAGATTAACATCCATGTCCACTTCTGTTCCATCCTGAGATGTTGTGAGTACCGGAGATGAAAATCACAACAGACGTACATGATTATGGGCTACCGTCACCCAATATTCGACACCAGAAACGGTGATGGGGATGAGTATGAGTTGTCCCGACACGAGTTCAATCTCGACGACCTCCATTTCACCGAGGGCATTTCCGTACCATACTTGCACGCCAAGATCAATTGCCCTAGTAACAATACAGTAAGTCTCTAGATTAGCGTTGAGAGGTACGAGACAGACCATAGATCCCACGGGAATGCTGGCATGTCATCATCCGCGACAAAAGGACGAACAACTGCGACCGTCTTGGTAATTTGACCCTGATCTTCATACTCCATGTCGATTTTGAAGATCCATTGGATTTCGACAGCGACTCGACCATTGAAATAAGCATAGCGAGCAGTTTTCCCGCGGGTTTGTGTTGCTGCTCCATAGCGGAGGGCTTCAACAAACACATGGGAGTAAGATTTCACATGGCCCATAAAGCAGGCACCATGATCTGCGAGAACGACGTCAGCATGAATTACAAAGCCCGACTCGCCCCACTCGTCCTGCAGGAACTGCAGGACAAGACCATATAGCATGGGGTCGAGTGTCTGAAGCTTGACATCCTTGGAATGTCGGGGATATGTTACATGTCCTGCCTTCGTCAGTTGAACTGCATGATGTACAAAAAATAGATGACTTACGTGCATTCCCGTCCTCTCCGAAAGATGCTAAATACTCTTGCAATGTTCCACGACGTGGGCGAGTTCCACCTTTCAAACACGATTCGAGAAGTTTGATTGAGTCGCGGTCATTTTCGTCGGGCTCCGGAAGTCTTCGAAAAGCATTCAACTGCAACAAAAATTAGACAGACTCGTAGCACGAAGAGAAAAAGAGCCTACCAGATCATGGACTAGAACCCATTTCCACCATTTGCGCATCATCGTACATTCGAGTTCGCCACCCTTGTGATTATTATGGTTCGTCCTACCAAGAAAGCCATTGTTTCGTTCATATGGAAACACCCACGTAGCATAGCAAGGCCCGAACTGGAGAAACTGACGTCGAAGATGTTGAGCGAGATGAAAATAAGGGGTTAGGTGACACCCCATACGCGCCCAATTCTGGCATGCTCTAGAGAGTGCCGCACAGCCCCGTTCGACCTCATCTGGGCTGATCGAACGTGACGACAAGATCTGGATAGCGGCGGAGAACTCGAGAATGGTTGCATAATGATGTCTGATTGAACGATCCATCGTGAGGGCATCGTTCTCGTCAAGCTGCTCGTTGGCCATCAGGTAACTGACACGAGAATGATAAAGCATTGTAGAGCATTACCTGGTCTAAAATTTGTATAATATTTATCAAAATTGCAGTTCAATCGAAAAAGCTTTATATACCTGGACTAAGTTGGATGAAACCCACCAAAAGCACAATTATGCCAGACTACTTGCAACTACTCACCAAACCGGCAAATGTTGCAATCACCTGTCAGCCGCCACAAAGTTTCATAATGCTTACAAGGGCACCAGTTAATTGACCTTTTTACACTCATTGGTTTTATTTAAAAATGATTTTTTTTAATTGAACAAGTAGTAAGTACACATAGATGATACTACAGTAAATGGAAGCAACAAGGAGATCAAGAAAAAGAGAAGATCGAAGCAGCCACGACTGCGGGAAAGGACCAGGACCGCGGGAAAGGACCAGGACCACGAGGAGGAGCCAGGACTAAGGAGGGACCAGGAAGAGACCACAATGGAGGGCCAGGGAGGGACCATGGGGGGAGCCAGAGAGGGACCATGAGAGAGAACCAGGGAGGGACCATGAGGGGAGCCAGGGAGGGACCATGGGAAGGGCCTCGGACCACGATGAAGAACCAGCGAGGGATCACGAGTAAAGACGGTCCACTGTGGAGGGCCAGAGACACCATCATAGAGGCCAGGGGGAAAACCACAAGGGAGGGTCAAAAAGTGAGAGAGTAAGTGGTATGTGGTAGTGTTAATGAAAGGGAAGTAATAGCGGATGTTGAACTTGACGAAAAAATTTCGGACGACTTACTTACATAAGCTTCCTGTAAGTCGAGCGTTGTGATGCACTGGATCACAAAGTTATGCAAGTGGTGGCCACCGGTTACCATTCAGTCGAAAAATGCTGGTACAATTACAAGACGTGATCTTCTTTCATCTAAATTGTAGTTTTTTTGTCACCTCTTATCCTTGGATTTCAATGTGTTTTTCTTATATATTACTTTATCTACCTTTATCGTTGCATGTAATCCCGTGAATTTCTGATCTGATATTACCAAATACAACTAGGAAAACCATCCCCTCGGCGATTTCCTGATGTTGGTAGGTTGTGCTTCTGTTTCAGAGAGCAGTATTTCGAGACGACGCCGACGCATGACCTTCTCGTTCTTCGCATGCGCAGCTGCATGTTTGGTGTTGGCTCTTGATTTTGGTGCGTCGATATCGGGGATAAGGCCGTCAATTTCCCATGCAACGAAAAGCCCGACGAACAACACACTAATATGGAGTCGCCATTGGTCTGCCTTTGACGAGGAAGAAGTGACCTGTAAATGTAAAGTATTGATCAGATGAATCACAAGAGGTGGGATAGCAGACGTACGGATGGGGGTAAGCGACCAACTGATACTGGCCAAATGATCCGAGAGAAGAATTCATCGAGTCGTTCCAGAGGATACCAGTCTTCTCGAGGAACGGGATTGAGCATCCCGGACTGAAGGATTATGACCTTCGTCACATGCCTAACCATACCTGTGATGGTTCATCAATACTCATTCATACGACAGCAGAGATTACTCACAGAGATACACACAGTGCATGAACTCCACTACCGAGTTGACGGCCGTCAACCAACCTGGGATGAGGTTAAACACTGACCAGTGCACTCCACGACGCTCGAAGATCTCCTTTCGATCATCGTCGTCAAGAGAACGTGAACGAAAGGCATATTTGACGTAGCGCCAAGCATCACGTAGTCTGAAGTCTGCGGACACATTAGAAATGACCCAACAACGGGCCATTAATTCTGACTTACCTGTCGGATTGAAACCACGTGGATCTGCAAGATAATATGAAGGTGTGTCGCATTGTGGACACATAAATAACTTTGATGAGAAGGAGGCAAGTCCTTCAATTTTGCGACTCGCTGGAAGATCGGAGACCTCGCTGTTGAGAGCTGAGTGAACAGGGTGCTTATCCTCATGTCCATATATTCGAAACTCTTGTCCTGTCCCAGTAGTCAGTAGATTTATATTGAAACTTATACATAGTACGCACCACCATAAAGTTCAATCATATCGGACACGAACTTTGCCATAATCTTGTTGAGCTGCTCCAAGTTCGGTTCATTTGGTCCAGGGAGGACCATGATTAGAAACGTCTCTTCAGTAAGGTAGCGAACGCCGCGAGGATTATTGCAGCAAGTCATGTAGAGCGCCCCTGTGGAGTGATTGCCTCGTTTGACGGCCTGGAACCTGACGTACAGATACTGATGAGAGTCCTCGATGTCTGGCAGTGGGTGGATTACGTACCAGTCAAGATTGATTTGCCATACGAGTCCGCAAGGCAGTGAGACAAAGCGTTGTTGGAGGTTATGAACATCGTCGTCTAAGACACGAAGTTGTCCGTTGTCATAATAGACACGTTGCAAACCAGCTCGTATCGCACGCCAACCCCAGGCATCATGCATATCGTGCATTGGATTAGAAGGCTCCGCAAAAGCATTGTCACCTCCCGCATGGGTAGCTGGTACTTGGCGTGGTTCGTCTCCATCTCGTCTCCATTGCTGTAACTCTTCATATTTTCCTGGGCGGAGAAGCCAATGCTGTATCGCCCGACGAGGTGCCACATATGGCAGAACCTTCGTTGGCTTGCGTTTCGATTTCCCGCTAGCGAGAAGCTTTGTCGTGTATAGTATACCTTCACAATCTTCTTCACGGCACTGTTCCTGAAGATCTTCGTCGTACAGCGTGAGGGGATCGTGGACCTGCCAGCATGACGGACATACGAAGAGGTAAGTAATGATGGAGTCAAGATTGACTCCCAGACGCCTCTCAGCTGTAGGCAAAGTTCTCGCCATGTCTTCCAGACCTTCATACTCGATATCTCGTGTGTGATCGCGAGCGTACCACAATGCGCGCGCGACCCCGTCGAGAATGATGCGTGAAACATCGTGCGAGGCACCTTTGAACGCAGATGCAATGTACGCACGCACATATGCATTCCTGATAGCGGAGTGCTCGCTAAAGGCAGGTGCTTCATCAAATAATAAATCTTCTTCGTCATCCTGTTGTTGGCGATCCTCGTTCTCGTCAAAACCGTTGCCCGCATTAAACGCAGGGTCGTTGACGATGTCCGCACCCTCATCAAGATCTCGCTCCTCATCAGAATGTCCGTTATTTTCATCACCATCTTCCTCCTCGACAGCATCTTCTTGGGGCAGGTATACCCGATAAGCGTGATCTTCATCATCCGAGCTGACGTGCACGTCACCTTCCCTTTCGTAATTGCCGCCTTCCCAGTCGTTGTTGTTGTCGTCATCGTTGCCGTCGTATTGCTCTTCTACTTCCATCCGGTACCCGATCTCGACATCGTGTTGAGGTTCTTGCACATAGTCGTTGATAGCTGGGTCTGGGTGTAATCCAGCTAATTCGGGGGATGGTGTGTTCCTGGGTGATGCAGGGATGGGGGAGCCCCGCTGCTCATCTGTCTCCCGCATGCGCAGATGCTCGTGTTGGCGCCGGTCAGCATCTAGATGCCTTTGGCGAGTAAGTCTTAACTGTTGGAGTTGACCACGGTCAGTTAAAGAGCAACGGCTACAGGCGCACCAGACAAGGGCTCTTGCCATCGTAGAAGTGTCTGAGCAGTGAGTGGTTTGAGTGCGCAGCAATGTGTCGTGTCCGCCATCGTCGTGAGATAAGACGATGGGCGCCCACGGCATATTGCGAGCGCGCAGCAGCAGGTGAGCTCCTCGAACGAGACTTAAGTAGCGTTTGAAAGCGTTAACGCTGACGGCTAACGTTAAGTCAGTATAACGTTGTATATTATTCACAGAAAACAGGAAGGACACGCTACATCACGTTTATTTACTGATTACATGAGATTTTCCGAAAATAATAACTGCTATTATTTTGCCTCAAATTCCGGTGAGCAATGGTTTGCGAGAGTATGAGTCGGATTCGCCGAATGCGGCAGACGTTACAGAGTATGAATGCGACCTGGAAGACAATGAGCTGTACGTCCATACTTCTTCTTCCACTTTCATACCCTTAGTCGTGGCGTGTAGCCCTCAGTCCTCCGTCTGATTTGCACCCTTTAGAGATGACACTGGATCTCCCCGACTTACCTTCTCACATCATTTTGTTGGAACGTACAGGTGTTCTCTTGTAGTAATGAATTCGGGGCCCTGAGACCTTTCGAAAGAGGTTGTGTTGGTCAAATTTTATTGGTCACCAGTTGATGAGCTTGCAAACTTTGCCTCCCGAGATGAAACACAGGATCGACAGGTATTTCACTCCGCCCATGTGCAGTGTACGCCTGCATTATACAACAAAGCGGCAGAAGTTTTACGAGCCCTTTGACCTCCCATCACTCACTAGTTGAAATTCCACTCCACCTGTATCCCCACTAAGTCTACGTCTCGCATCATCACATGTTGACTCATCTATCTCACTGAAGCTGAACGTAACGGAGCACTCGATTACTATCAATCTTAGTCGATCCGCATCAGAATCATTTTCATCAAACCATACCTCTCTACATCGCTCGATCGTCGTCGTTCTGGTCAATTCCCTTCAAGCTATTCATTCTACCTCGCTTCCTCAAATATACTGGGCTCCTACCTCATCCAGACCGCCCGAGGCAGGGACTGCGCCCTTGTATGCTGGCGGTGTAGGTGCGACCTACTAAAGGGGGCTTGGCCCTACACATCACTAAGGTGCTACACTGATACGCACTGATCAGTATTGTGCAACGGACGGTCTTGTTTCTCGTCCGCCTGAAAGAAGTACAATCTAGTACTGACAACAAATACTTTTATATGAACAGCGGACAGCAAGAACTACACTTGGCAGCTTATCTGAAGCCATAGACCCTCCATGCTGGACTCTGTACGAGGTCTTGTACAAGTGTTTCACAGTTTCCGCCACCTGACTATGGTCTTACAGGCCTTTGTATGGGTCAGAGTTGTTGCACAACGTAGTTTCTGAATTGCGCGATGGGTAAGTAAAGGTAAACACGCCACCTGCGAATAACCTCAACTCGTCTGAGATCGTAAAGCTCAAATGAATATTACATGGGGGTATCCTTTACATCCGCTACCCCTCAGCTCGTCCTGGCATCATCTATCTAAAATGCGATATGTTTCCCGAGGTACTGTTTTTTTACAGACTTACTTATTCTCCCGCAGTACTGATGATGTGATTGCACCAGCAGCGAGCATTGATAAAGGAGATTGATCCAAACGTTCCTAAGGCACGTTCGTGGTCGTTTGCACATCTTGTTCTACGCGCCAGTAGGGTGCACTCGATGTTTTTCCACACGGTTCATTGTCTTGCGGATAGCTGTGCCGCATTCAATGCTCACTATGGTAATTTTGACTTCATTTCTAAGGATGCTCATCCAACCCTTGACACCCTGTCTGGGGGCAAGAGTGGAGACACCTTCCGATCTGTCCTATCACTACTACGGGACAGAGGACGGCTCTGAAAGTGCAGTAGAGGCTTCCTCGTATATTGATGGATAACTTGGCTGATCATGATATGCTGTAGTATCTCAGTTACCGCTGGTCATGCCTACTCCCTTATTGTATCCCTTGCCTGTCCTAATCGATGCCATCCCCATAAATGAAGAATCCACGCTTCGTCTCTACCTGGTCTCGTCGCTCAGCGCATCGACAAGGCGATCAGTTCACGACACTTCCTCAGCCCCTTCCACAACGCAAAATATTCATTAATATCACCGCATAACCTATCCCAAACGATGAGGCGAGTGTAGCGAGTAGCAGAGGTCATCGAACGTGAGCGTTCCCTTTCTCCTTTGAAGAATGTAGCCACTGACTCCCTCCAGAGCTCTTTGACATTAGTGCTGGATCCAGGCGGACTGATGCTTGACATGAGTATGGACGACCCATACCGTGTTGAAATGAACCATTCGATTGATTCTTGAACGGTTTGGTTCAAAATACAAGCAGATAACATTTACTTACATGTTGGCAAGGATCTCCAGGGCCCACTTCCGCAGCCGTGTCTAGCATGGCATGCATATTGGTGCGTGCCATCACCCTCGCTGTATCTGCGAAGCTAACCTTACACTGTGCAGAGCTACACTCACTCCTGGAGTATATCCGTTTAGTGATAGCAGCCATTCCCACATTCAGCGGCAAATTCTGCACGCGCAATGACTACGAGATATGCAAAAAAGACTGACAGCAATGGTAGGCGTCAGTGAATGCGTCTATTGCATAGAAATCTCGCGTTCATACTAACGTCGACGGGAGTACCGAGCCCTTCTGTTATGGCACGAGTGCGAGTAATCATATTCAATTACGAGTGCCTCGCCATGGGAGATGAATGCATGCGTGGTCTGCCATATAACTGCACACTTCCTTGAGAGATTAGCACTAGTATCGTAGCGGTTGTAAGTAATGTACAGATCAAAAAGGTCCCAGGATCGACGAAGCTACTGACGGCGATGGGTGCGCATGTTAGTTTCGTGGTGTGCTTGAAGTTTGACGAATGGTGTGACTGGAAAGCGTGAGTTGGCGTGAGTAGGCTCGTACGATGTACTCGAATAGAAGACGAGGCTGAAAACGACTACGGTACATCAAAATCTGGGTGAGTATTCTAGGGGACAATAACACGAGAGAGGAAAGCGAGATAACACCAGTGCAAATGTCAGGGCCATGACTACTAATAATAGTGAGAGAGGGGGTCGCAGGTGAGAAACTTGCGAATACGTACGAGACGAAGCAATACGACGTACGTAGAACTACACACCAATATGAATGAAAACCATCCTCTGCTCGAGCGGCACTTTTGTCATCACGGTGTGTGTAGCACGGTTGAGTGCCCAGGCCGCCTTCGTACAGTCTATGACACCGTCCTCCAGGTCTTCGAACATCTTCTCGTAAAAAGCTTCCACGACATGTTTTACGAGAGCGTCATTGACCCCCCACAGCGTGCCAACGACGCTCTTGAACCCCGAAAACTGGAGTCCAGCTGCGAGGTGGATGGCTTCGTCGGGTGTCTCCTCATCGCCGACGGCGGTATGACATGCTGACAAGAATGCAAATTCAGCTTGTGGAGAATTGTTCTCCATGATGTCGAGCAGCGTAACGGGTTTGTCTCTCATGGAGAAACATGAGTTATAAGGCTGCTCGAGGTCTTGCATGCCGTGACAAGCGAGGTGCACCCAGGTGTTGCACTGCAAAGCGTTGAGCGCACCTGCTTGTGTGGCTTCGTCTTTCGAAATATTAGTGAACTGGATGTTGGGAGGAACGAGTGTATGGACAAGCTCAAGCTCGCTGTCAACAGCCGGGAGCACGTCGCCTTGCCCTGCGCCTGGTTGACTTTGTCCGATCGCCGCGAAGGACGGAGTCGCACGCGTCTTCATGGCCTGCCGAGCTCTGATAAGAGCTGAAAGTGTGGGTGTATAAGAGCAGATGTAGAGATCCTCTAGGCATGGCTCGCTTCCAGAGCGATCTGCGTTCGTTCGGAAGGGATTAGCTGCATGGAGAGGGATGGACGTGAAGGCTGCTGTTGGACACAGCCATATTCGAGACCGATGCTGCAATTTTAGGTCATGCTGGAGGACGTTAACGATGGGTAGCATGATCTCGTCCCATAATATCCGCAAGCGCACTCGCAGCTTCTTCCTTGGTTCCGCTGGGTGCATACGAGCTGCGTGTCGGATTGCTGTAGCGAAGTCGTCCTTGAGCTTCTCCAGATCTGCGAAAGTGATGCGCGGGAAGCGAACGTGATGAGGCTGTCCAGATGTCGGGACAACGACGGCGTTGCATGAGTATTTACTTGCAACAAGGATGATGACTGGGCCATGGCGCGCTGCTGCTTGCAAGTCTTCGTACAAAGGCGGAAGTAGGAACCGCGAGAAACCTTGAAGATTACGGATTTCAGCTACCACGGCTTCCCATTGCGTCGTAATTTTCCTGTACTTTGTTTCTGCTACTTCAGCCGCAGCTCTGTCGGTGATGGCTGCAGAACCCTGAGCGGCGTCGGAAACGCGCTTGCTCAGCTCCAAAAATTTGCGGGCTAGATGCGGATGTCCCGATTCGAGGTCTTCAACTGGAGTCTTGAGTCGAGATGCCAACGACCATTGCTGGCCACGGCCCTGCTCCGCAAGTTCGACCGCGCGTCGGAGATTGTTGCTGCGGATGGCACATGATGCTGCATCTACAGGTAGTGATCTTGCATAGTGGAAGGCACCGGCAGCTTCGCGCCGCGAAGTTGTTGATGATCGCGTTGCCAAATGAGCATCCAGAAGCTCGAAAAATGTCGAGTAAGCCTCCAGTGCGGATCCATCACCATGCTGCTCCGCTGTGACAGTCCAATTATA